TTTTTCATAACCATTAGTTTATTGTACGCACACCAAAGAGGAAGAGAGAGAGTGAGAGAGAGAAAGAGTTAGTTCGATATGCGCACTCGGCAGAAAAAAAAGGAAAATACTTAGAGCTCGTATTTTCATTAATATTTTGCGTTACGCTACCGTGTGCGTATGTATTTTTGGGGGGTGCGTCTATGGTAAATAATGAAGAGCGCGTATAATAAACGAACGTTAATTTAACGCGAAGCGTCGTAAAAGCTCGCGGCGGCAAGGATAACATCGTTATTATATGTTTTCGCAAATTCTGCACCGGGCGCAAAGTGGAAATGAGAGGATGTATGCGGAGGGAAGGCGGAAAATTCGCGATAATTTCGTTTAACGCAAGTGTGCATACACGCGGCGCGGCATAAGCGGATCTGAAGGGGGGGATACGTAATCATCGTGTGACATTGTGACTTACAATCCCTTCGATTGTACACTCGTACGCATATATTTAATAAATTATCACGACATTTCCAACTCTCGCACTGCTATCATTTCGTATAAGCAAGATATTTATTGCGATAATAACGATCATTACTCTATGTATATGGCAATATAGCTCGTGTTATAAGTGCAGTAGTCACGTTACACACCCATCCTCTTTCGCAGTCCGACCGACCCCCCGATTGATAGCTTAATTTCCGTAACATATATATCTGCGTATATAAGTTGTTCGTATGTACGCGATCGAGTATTTATACAAGTTCGCGTTTCGCGAAAGCCACAAACTTCGTCGCCGTGGCCTCTCATTGATTCTTCGGCTTTTATACTTAATACAGAAATGTATTTTATGCAAATGCGACGCGAATTCGCGTCGAAGTCGTGTCGCGCCACGGAAAACATTGATTATAAATATCGCCGCCGCGGCAGCAGCCCGCGAATGAATGGCAAATGAATCGAGGCGAGAGGAAAATCGACGAGTAATTTTACCATTAATTTTATGCATTATTTACACCTTTTGCCTCCCCGCGAGCTTTTTGGGGAAGAGGGACGGGGACGAGGGGATGAATATTCACATTACCTTTCAAGCCGGGGGTTGTTTAAACTTGCATGTATACAGAAATCTGCTAGAGCGCAGAAAAATGACACGGACTTTAGAATGGATTTTTTTCTTTATTTGTTTATAAATATTCAAATTTCCTTCACAAAGACTCATATAACATACGTTGAGGTGCAGACGTATAACGTTTTTCTAATTAAATATGCCATTGTACGCGAGAGCTCCTGAAACGATTGAACATCCAACGTATGTTTTAATATAATTAAACGGCACCGGTCGACGATTTATTTTTCATTCCGCGCATGCTCTCTGCTGCTTTTGAATGTCAAAAAGAAAAAGAAAGACGACACCGGTGAAAGGTCGAATTCCTGACGTCCATTTTTCTGTTGATCCGGTCCTTTGCGCTAATGGAATTTTCCTCGTTTTTTTTTCTTCTTTTTGTCATGTTCATCGACATCGGCCGGGGGCTGAACCGACAAAGACTTTTCAGCGAAGAATGAAGATTCGAAACGTTCATCGGTATTTCTGATATTTTTTATCCAAGGCGAGATTTTTCTTTCCCTTTTTGTTTTCTCAACTCAACGGATTCTAAAGCTTATGCTGCATAGCAAGAAAATCGCATAAGTTATACACCTGTATAATTCCATAATGATACTTTATTATTTTTTCCCTTCGCACAATCCGCAAGTTTTCTCTCTCTTCCTCTCTCTCTCTTTCTTCCTTTTCTCTCTAGCTTAATGCGGACTTTACAACTACAATTCGTCGAATAAATAAGTCAAGCATCCACAAGAGCTGAGTTTAACACAGTCTGTAAAAATTATGCTAGTCGAGCATAAATTAACAGTTGCATTAAAAGCGCGGAGAGAAAAAAGTGGGTCGAGTTTCTCTCGTTCTTCTCGCGCGGCTCTGTCTCTCTCTCTCTTTCTCTCTCTCTCTCTCTCTCTCTCTCTCTCTTTCTCTCTCTCTCTCTCTCTCTCTCCCTCTTTCACTATTTCTTCCTACGACTAGGCCCTGGCTCGTTATAATGTATATAAGCGCGTTTAATAGATTTTTAAATTTTAAATGACTCAATAGTCGAGCCATGCCAATTTTCTCGAGACTCTCTCTAGCGGCAATTATATACGCCTGATTATCAAAGGGGCTTGTAGACGTAGTCGATTTTAACTAGCAATTACTTTTTTAATTTAAATAATGTTTCCTCTATCTCTGAAAATTTTTTTTTTCCATTAAATTCAAAAAACATTATTTCAACTATTTATATTTGACGTTTCGAAAAGTGCATCATCCTCTTTTTCTTCCTTAACATTGATTAAATTCTCAGTCGTATTCAGGTCGTTCAATAATCCTGAGCGAGACAAAAATTAGTCGAGCGCAATAAAAATCATTCGTATAAGTAATGAAAGCGGAGTGTGCGTCTATAGAGATTGATATCAAGTTGCAGCTTTTCAAAAATATATCTGCTGAATAACTGCTAATTCGCTGCGTTGCGTCTCAAAAATTATTATCCACAGCTCGAGAGGAAAAAGTGGGTCAAAAATGTTTTTCTCTCTCTCTCTTTTTCTCTCTCTCGGCGCGTTTATGGATTGCGTTCCCCTTTTTCTTATAAATTCATTGTATTTGGCATTCCATCCTCACATAGCAATATGAAAACAATATTTTCCATTCGATCTTCGTGAAGTTTCTTTTTTTTTTATTCCTTTCTTCGACTATTCTCGCATTTGCTTTTTTGTTGCTCGCGTTCATTTTATTGTTTCCAATGAGATCCACAACAGCAACAGCAGGGCGAGCGGTGCCGCGTAATTTCAACATTAACCTAGCCTTTTTTTCCACATTCGCATGCGCACACACTCATACAACTCTTATCGTATAGTCTGACTCTGACTTCGTTCTAATTTCTTCTTCTTTTTTTCTTCTTTTCCTCTTCATATTCTTAATTACTTTTTCATTTTCCCCCTTTCCATTTGCGTCTCTCTTCATCGTTTTTCATACGCACTCTCGGTCTCTTTCCTCCTGCAAAACGAAACGCAACATATTAAATAATTCTTTCGTCACAGAGTTATGTTTTGTCGAGAAAAAATTTATAATTTTCTTTGCTAAATTAAAAATGTACCTGGCGTTAGTTTTGAAAGAAAAAAACATTTCAATAAAAATGATAGGATGGCAAGGATCATCTCTTAATTCAACGTTGACAAGGATCGTAATGTAAGCGCCAACAGATGACACATTTTCTCTGGCTAAGCTACTTTTGTTTCGAGTGTTGTCTTATGTCATTAATTCTAGCTAAAAAGAACTCGCTTGTAAAGATATCAGCCTACCTAGTTAATTATTTCTTAGAATTATGTCGATGTAATATGAGGATGATGCAAAAAAAATGTGATTACATTTTTCAAAAGATGAACTTCTCGTTACATGATAGCTCCATGGAGTTGGTTCATGGATTTTCAATTTTTATACGATCATGTGAATGAAGCGCGTCTCACTCACTTTTCTCTCGTTGCTCAATCCCTGGCTCTCTCCCTGCTTCAGTCGAGCTCTGATCCTGCTATTGACAATCGTCGAAGTTTAAAGAATCCGCGTCAAGATTAATTCAATTCACGTCATATATTGGAAATAGAAAAAAGGGAGAAATAGACGCTTTGTATTGTATAAAGAGCGGGGGTAGAGAATGTGAAAAGATTAAATTATTTGCAAAAGCGACCCTTTTTTTCTCAAGCTTGAATAAATCTTTTTCATGCTCGGCGAGTAAAATAAAAGTTTGCTTTCTACCTCCGCACACTCCACAGCCTACACACACAGCCCACACACTCCCATCTATATTTATAAATTCAGATCTGCATTATTATTGTAATTTTTTTTTCTTACGATGTATGTATTACGTTTCTTTCGAATTTATATCGGCATTAAATTCAAACTGAATTCTGTAATAGCCGATCTTGTACATTCAATTCGACCGGGATCACTCTCTGTAAATTCTCGATATTTTTTATACTTCACTTGTGAAAGAAGTATAGGAAAGAGGGATATTGTACGCAAAAAAAAGTCAAAACTAGTTTACTCGGCAAAAAAGGGAGGAGAGAAAAAATACAGCTTTGAATCTGCTCTTTGTGAAACGAGTTACACGTACCAGACCATGAATAGATAAGACCTTCGGATAACATTCAGGTTACAGCTTTCTCTCTCTCTCCTCTCAGCTCACCTATACACCAGAGTGTAAGTCTGTGTGAGTGTGTTTGTGCGCTTATACATGATTCCCAAAACTTTGCCCCCAAAATTATCCTGCCCTAGCTTTTGCCCGAGCTCAGAGGGCTCTTTTGAAGCTCGGCAATCCATGAATTAATTCGTTATTCAACAGTAAACACCAGTTTTTTTTTTTCAAACTACTCTCGATCCCAGCCCTTCATTGTTATTAACCGAAACATAATCGCGCACAAATGAGCTCTCCCTCGCACACGACTCAGAGAGAGATAGAGAAAAGCTTTCCTCTCTTTTCTCTCTCACTCTAAACTTTTCGCGTTTTCTCTAATTAAACACACAGCTCGCTCGTATTTCTGACAAAAACGCATGTAGGACGATCTCTCCGATGCTTTTGCATTAAACGGGTGCGCGGGCGAGAGGATTGATCCTCTCGATGCTTGAGAGCGCGTGCTGCGGCCTGTGTGTGTAGATATATATCTGGTTGAACCCGACCTGCCAGGGGCCACCCGATCCGACTCTTGGCGGCACACAGCTCGCAAGGGCGCCCCGCCGAAAGGTCATTGTAAATTCAATGCCTCTTCAACGTTTACTCGGCGCACCCGGTATGCGCTGTATCGAATCTCTTTTGTCAACGTTATTATTACGTATATACACTAAATCGTTTACGTAAGCTCGTGCTCGCGGCGAGACGTTGGAATAACAATTTTCAAAATTACGTACATAAATTATCCAACTATCACGATGAAACTATAATTGTCACTTTTTTGAATTGCAGGCAAGCCTCGCCCAATTCGGCGACGACCAATAGTTCATCGATATCCGATGGCTCGGAACAGCAGCAGCAGCAACAACAACAGCAACAGCAGAGTCTCAACCTTTACCCGGTCGGTCAACAGCAGCAGTCGACGGAATCGAGCTCGACGACCCCGACGACGAGTAGCACGGCGTCTACCGCCACCTGTCCAGCAGGAAGCGGAAACAGCAGTAGCAACTCGTCGTCACAGCAGCAGCACCACCAGCACCAGCCGCAATCGTCGCTGCAGAGCAATGTACAGCGTAGCGTGTCGGCACCGACTGGCCCGAGGCCGCAGATGCTCTCGACCGGCAGCAATACCAGTACGGCGAGCATACCGTTGCCCGGGACTAGCCAGAGACAGGCTAACAACGGCAACAGGACTCTGAGGAGAAATCAGAGCCGCACCGAAGCTATCAAAAAGTGAGCATCATTACCACGAACATGACTCGTAATATGTACATATAAAATTAATAATTATTATAAATTTGTTATTTTTTCAGCTACATCAAACGCGAGACTGCCACGTTCTTCGGCGTCGACGAGGAAAGCGAGGCGGCGGAGAGGCAGAAATGGCTCGACCGGCGAAGGCGAATGGCCTCGAGAAAATACGGCGCTCTGCTGCCCGAGTACAAACCGCCGGATCCCGATATAACCAAAGATGTGCCGGATGCTTTAGAAGTCACCGACGTGAGTACAAACAAGTTGCTTTTTTTTTCGTTGTCGTTGGTTGTACATACAACAGCCACGACTGTAAGGCGAAAAATGCCCCCTAAACCGAACCAAAATTTTTCATCAAGTCCATGTGTGTATGTTTAGAAGGGCTTGTGAAAAAAATTTTTTTTGTGTACAGCTTCAAAAAAGAAAAGAAAAAAAGAACGGGGTCAACAGAAAGATAGAGTTCATACGTATATATACACACGTAATGTAAGGAAGCCCAGCTGACATCGTCACAGCTGCATTAATAATTAGGAATCTCAGTCCGAGTGTGTGTGTGTGTGTGTATGTGTGTTTGCAACTCGAGTCATGTATCTTTACGTTCGCCTATATCTCTCGGCTTTGTTCTTTTTACCCCTTTCTTTTTTTTTCTTTCTCCAGCCTCCAACCTCACGTGTGAGTGTGAGCGTGTGTGTGTGAGCGAGTCTGATTACACTTGTCAGACAGGTCTGTGACTAAAATGTAACACACATCCGTATAAATACGTATGTGTTTGTGTGCGACTCTGCAGTGAAGATAAGACATCCAAGAAAAAGACTAGAATACACGTACATCTGACTTGTATGTGAATATAAACTCGTATATCTCTTTTTGACCTGATTTACTAGCTAGAACCTTGATTTTCACCTTTTCTCTTATAGTATTTTCTGTATATCCCTGGATTTTGTTTGTCGTTTCTGGTTGTCTCGCTGTAGCGTTGATGGTCGTTGGCGAAATTTTTCTTCAAATCATAATTCTTTTCTGGCAATAAATCTGCTTTTTATGACGATCGTGGTAAAGTGTCAAGTATTTGATCTAATGCTAAAATTTAGATTATAATTTTGACCAAAGTATTTCTATTAGAATTGGAATTGGAAAACAATTGGAGAAATGAGAGCAACTTTAAGAACTAAAATGTAATTGCAAACGAAATAATATATTCAGTAAAAAAACTATTATTTAAATTTAACGGTTAAAAGACTATCAAGCTTCTCAAAAGTACTGGCCTGAACGAAGAAATAAGAAATTACCAATAGGTTTTCTTAAAAATTTAGATATGCTCATATTCACGTCAACGATTGAATTTTTTCAGTTCAATAAAAGCGGCTATTACTAAAATTTTTTAGCTTTTTCGTGTGAAACTTTCGCGGTCGCTTGAATGATATTAAGAGCTCCATGAATGATTACTGACCTACGAAACTGCTTACTCGTATAGAGAACAACTGATACTGCTTACTACAAAAAACCGCCCGCTAGAATTTTAATACGTATTCTATTTTATTCATTTTTTACACAATATGCCAAGAGCGAAAAATTATTCAATTATATTCCATTGCCAACTTAATAATTCATGCATAAAAATAACATTGACAGTCATATGATAACTTTAAATTATGAAGTATCTATTTTTTATGAGTTATTCAATATACAAGCTTTACTTTTAGTTTTTCAGATAAATTCTGAAACATCTTAGCAAAAAAGTGTACTTGTTAATTGATGAAAAGCAACAATCTTTCCAACAGATATTTTTACTAAAGCCTCAGACCTTCTTTGTGGAAAATAAAATCATACATAATGGAATATTAAAAACAATTAAAAATCAAAAAAATTAAGAAAATACATATGATGTAATTATGCTAAAAATTATACCTACAATTGTACTAAAATGGTGGTTCTTGGATAATAACCTTAGGTTAAAATAATGAAAAATTCCGTTAAAAATCAATTGATTAAATTATAAAAGTTTAGGTATTTTTAGTGGGTAACTAAGCTAACCACTATTACAACTATCATAAGTTTGAGGTTGAATAAGATTTAAATTTAGTACCCTTCATAGATATATGGATATTAAAGTGGCTACATAGGAAAATGAAGTTTTGATAACCTGAATAACAAATAGAATTTTCATTACGATAGCGAACTATTCAATATTTAATAATATTAGCGAGTGCACTTACAACTGCGAAAGTTTCGAAGTTCAGAAAAACTATTGGGCCAGCTGTGATGTTTAATTTTTTTGATAGTCTCATGATGAGCATTAAATAATCAGACCTTACTTTTAATGGATAATTGTACCAACCGATGTAACAACTGTAACAATTTTCCTCCTAGTCAATGAAGAAATATTTTTTCTTTATAAAATAATAGATTTCAACTTACCACGAGTAATATAAGCAGATGTTAGTATTTTCAAGTAATTGACTTGGTATACATATGACAATTATGATACTTAATGCTCCGATAAAAACGCAAAACATTTTAAAGGAAGTGGTTGGATCCGTTTTGAACACTACAATCATCTAAACATTTTCTTTTCGTTATTTATAATCACAAGCTGATAATTAGGTGGTTAATTATTTCATAATAATTTACCGTAGATGATGCGATGATGACATATATTGCAGTCGAACAAAATACAAAAAATCCAAGTCCTCCTATTACATTATTGTACAAGCGAGATGCTCTAAAAAATTAATATTACCCATTATTTTAAGATGAGACTTTTTTTAAACGAATTCGTTAATCGTTACTCCAAAATAAGGGAATGTAATTTAATTATGCCAGTGATCCTCGTGAATATAAATTTTAAATCTTTCATATTTGATTGTTCTTCGTGAATTAATTCTTCATCGATTCGTTCCAAGCGAATCCTAAATAAATGAAATATATTTTTTAGCACGATCAAAGTTTTTAAATCATTGATAAAATTATAATACCACCCTAACTTACGCTACACATTTTAATAAAATCGTGATCAAACATATGTAAATCCATTGTAAACAATTCAATGAATTGATAATAATTGTTAGTACTAATGCTCCACAAAATTGAATGAAATAAATAACAGCAAAATATCGATTTTTGTTCAGATGAAATTCAGTATGAAAAGGTAAATATTTTACACGAGTTTGATTCTCAGGAAAAATCCAATCTAATATTGTGAGATCAGTTAATGGGTTTACCATGTACATAAATACTATAGAACAAAAAAGACCTGTACATAAAGTTGAAATATTATAAAATATGTATCTAATATTTGATACATCGAAGATTACACACTTGATAATATATTTATGACTTTCGAAAATTTATTAAGGTTCTTTACAATTAAAGCTTTCTCTTGAAGCTCTAATGAATCTAGTATATATTGATGAATAAGTATCCAACATCTTACCTAAAATACCAAATATATGATTTCATGTTGAAATAAATTTAATTATACTAGTCATGGCTCGTATCATAATTTTAGATTATTTAACCTCATTCTCTTTGCTCAGAATATAAATGTAGCAAAATAGTGTGCCCACAAAAATTAAAATTTGAATCAATATTTCAATTAAAATAGCTTCATGGATATTTGTTCTGATAAGGACTGAATGAAATTTCAATATCTGAAATCCGATTATTAAAAATAAAATATTTTAATAACAATTTTGATATTAAACTGCTTACCTCTGTTATTATTACGATTAAAATTATTAAACTTATGATGCTTCTACCTATCATATTGATGTATCTATTCTTCAATGGATAAATGCAAGAAATATTTATAAATTTTTTAGGCCAATAGAAATGAATATCGCAAAAATCGTGTAATTTAATTAATAAAATTTCTTCTTCCATTTTATGAAAATTTTTCAACAATTTAGATCATCAAAAACCATTTGTTTGCCGACTACTACTGGATAAAAGTATTGCAATCCAAGTGCTGTTCAATGCATGTAAAGTTAATATTTAATCAGTTCAATGAATAAGTATATTCACATCGAATTGAAAAATTAACAAGGCTTAGGTTTTGGTATTGTGTAACAAGTCTATTTTCAAATCATTTATGATTTAACGTTCATTGATTCAACTTTTTTTCAAATATTTTTTTTTCAACCTGCTTTTACATGAAAAAGTAAAATAAAAACTATTGTAGAACATTACGTAGATAGTTATCGAACAATTACATTACTTTGTTTAAACCTCGCTCAACGAGCCCGTGCGGGTCACGTGTGTCCCTTGGCTCTGCAGGTCCGTCCTAGCGCGTAGAGAATTTTTCAGCGTATGTTCCTAGAGGGTGAAAGACAGGGTATACCGGGATTCACACTCACTCACACCAAGAAACAAACACTAAATATTAACAATAAAAACTACAAGGTTTATTCTTATGCAATAAACATTATACACGGCCTCAGAGAGTAGTCGGGCGCGTCGGCGCGTACGACTCACAAATACAACGACCGACGGCTGGACCGCCCGACTCACCACACGATGTCGAGATCTTCTCCTGGTCCAGATCCACCCTTGGCTGTCCTTGTGGTTTGCTCGGCCGTTGGATCCGCTGGTTCTCTCTCGCGCACTCGGATCGACTCGTACCGGCACTCGCACTCTTTACTCGGGCGACGTAGGATCTTACTAGCCCGCGCGGTACTCGTCAATCCGACGTAGACATTCCCGAGGATGTCGCACACTCGAGCTCCGTTCGCTCTCAAAGCAAATCTTCGACTATCTCCTCTGTTCATATGTACGCTCTCGTATCTTAACGTATACGCGTGTTCACGTTCTATCCTTTCACACTTAGCGCTCACATGAAATCAGATTCAAAATACAATAATCAATAACGATTCTTATAACTAATAATATACTCGGCAAGTCGACGATGGTTCGTCAGGGCGGCCCAGCAGATAATGCCAGTCCCGGCATTACAACTTCCGGTATAATGCCAAACGATGCAGCTGAATATGACATTCATTACCTCATTTTACCAAAGCGAAATAGTACTACACTACACTATCCCTATCCCAAACGTCCTATCAGAAGTTTCGCGTAAAAAAAAGAAGCAGTACAGCAAATATAGCTTGGCTGAAAATCTATATTATAACATCTACACATAACTGAACGTATTTTTGTTTCCTTTTTTTTGCAGTCTGTCACGCTGAGAAAATGGCAGAGACCAGCAAGAACAAAAGACTCGGTCGCAAGGATGACGCTCTCGGGCATCCAATACTTGGTCGATGTAAGTATATGTAACGTTTATCTCTTCTTTTCTTTCATTCTTTTCTTCGTTTCTTCCTTATTCTGGTTTTATTTTTCTTGACCCAAAAGTTATAGAGTAACAACTATATCGTATAAATATCGAGTTGTATATACACATAAATCATTTGTGTTTTATAAATAAAATACGTAAATATCAGTTTCCCCGAGGAATGTAAATTCATCCTGATTCTGTCGCATTGCGTTGAGACACGTCAGTCTAGCTAAATATATGGGTAAGGCTCAGAATTTTTTAAATAAACCTGAAGAAATTTGAAAAATAATGTAATTGTGATGAAAGTCTTCAGAATTTCGCTCGAATCTTTGTTATGCTCTAGAATGAGCTAGGAAGCTCCAATCGAAATTTTGCGACGGTCAAAATTTATTAAAATTTGACAAGGAATTCGAAAAAAATTTTTTCAAATTTTTTTACCGGAACCTCTGGGTTCCAGGAACCGTTTTTCATAAAAATAGCGTTTTTTAGCCATAGATGCTATCGCCTTCAATTAAAAAATTTGAAAAAATTCAAGGTTATGTATTTTGACCTGAGAAACAAGAAAAAAATTTTCCGGATTTTTAAAGCTTCGTATCGCCCTAAAAAAATTATTTTCGTAAAAAAAGTGCGTTTTTCGGAAATAACCGCCGGAGTTCTGTCTGAAAAAATCTGAAAAAATTTGAGGTTATGTATTTTGATGTCAAAAATAAGTGGAAAAAAAGATCGGGCTTTGTATTGCATCGTAGCGCCGTATATGAATTTTCAAAATTTTCCATAATTTTTTCTGAAAGCCTGAAGCACTCAAAAAATCTGAAAAAATTCAAGGTTGTTTGGATTGTTGAAAAGTATTTTTGTGAATTTTTTCAGATTTTTTAATTGCTTCAGGCCTTCAGAAAAAATATAGATAGAAAATGGACGTTTATACCGAAGTGGGGGTAGGAGGGGGGAGGGGGTCTAAAATTTTGGTTTTGGGGCTTTTTTACCATGTACTATAACATACCAAAAGCGCGTCAAGATCGGTGACATACGAGCGCAGGTTTATTTAAAAAATTCTGAGCCTTACCCATATATTCTTCAGTCACTGCTGCTGCTGCTGCTGCTGCTACTGCACGGCACGACAGCGGCAAGTCGGAAATCGTCAGAAGTGTTCACGCGTCGGGGAGCCCCAAGAATATCGCTCACTCGTACCGAAACGGATAGATAGCTTTTAGCACGGACGAGGGAAACAGAGAAAGGGAGAGAAAGGAAGGAGAAAGACAGAGAAGGAGCTCACCTGCACACACCCACGCACATATATATACGTAGGTATCGAGCACGGTGTTTTTATCGAGCAAAATGAGCGAGTGAGCAGACGACCAGCCAGAGAGTAAGGGAAAGAGAGAGAGAGAGAGCAGGTCAGCAGCGCTCCTCAAGATGTCACGACGTGGCCACAAAGAAACCACTTGGCGGCAGTGGCTTTTTGTCGAGCTGTTCCGTAGCGACCGACGTGTATATGTGGGTGGATTCGTACGTGTGTGCTGAGCTACTCTACAATATCTGTGTGCTAACGTGTGGGTGTATGTGTGTGGGGTGGATGTATGCGTGCTTGCAAGGGAACGAACGAGTGGCGCCCCATTAACCGCCCGAGCTTGCGGACCCTTTTGTCTTTCGTTGAACCGTGACGAATGCGAACCTCTTTTTTCTCCCCCTTTTCGGTCTCTCTCTCTCTCTCGCTTCTTTCGTTCCCTCTACTCTGTCGTATACTCTCGAGAAAGAGGAAAAGAGAGTCAGGCGAGTCATAGAGAATGTGTGCACGAGTGCCCATGGACTGAGTGGGAGGGTGAACCTATTCTCTAATGTTCGTCGTGCACACAAGTAGATTAGCGTCAATAATGCGCCCCGTTTGAAGCCACTTATATATATCGAGCTCTCTTGTATGTAACGCCGTGCGCTACGAAGAGAGAGAGAGAGAGAGAGCAAGAGTGAGATGAAAATTAAAAGTCGACGTCGGATTATATAAGGAAATTATTGACGCGTTTTATCAAGCCCTGAAAAGCTCGTTGGCGTGCGCTGACGGGCAGCCAGCGAAATATCTCGCGCGCTATATATATTTATAAACGAAGCTCCGCACGCCGCGGAATAAGCTCGACGAGACGCGGCGCTGCGGACGCTCGTAGCAGCAGCAGCAGCAGCAGCTGGCAATATTATTCAATTTTCCGCCAAGAGTTGCGCGTGTAATTGACCGGTTCCCCGTAAACGAGCGGATGGAATTATTAACCGCTTCAACTGCGTGTGGCGGCGGGAGGCGAGGGCTTTTTTAATATGCAATACACATTCCAGGAAGTATACGTATGGTCGAGGATCTGTATCGTGTATACGATATATTACGTGTTTATATTATGGATGTAATAGTTGAATTTTGCGCCGCGCCAGAGAGAGAGAGAGAGAGAGAGAGAGAGAGAGCGTACCTGACCAATGTAATAATCCTTCGGACAAGCGCGGCAAAATTTTGGCTCTATAGTTTGCAAATTTGTAGGAAATAGTTATTGTTCTTGACGTTATTGTGTTTGTTGTTGTTGTTGTTGTTGTTGTTGTTGTTGTTGTTGTTGTTGTTGTTGTTGTCTTTGTTGCGGCTCAATTTTGTCTATTCATAAATGATTTGTGCGAGCAGCTTCGTCAATGCAATTTGTACGTTCATTGCCACATTGTGTGTTATAACAAAGCAAATCGAGAGAAAGAAAAAATATAAATGTAACTGCAAGTATACCACATGCGAGCGATGCAAGCTCGTATATTTCAATTATTCATTTACTCTTTGTATAAAAATGAGCTTTACTACTACTCGAATCTTGTCTGTTCCTTTTTCTGTTTTCTTGCGAGCTTTACCTCGCACAGTAGAGCTTTCCACCTGGAGAGAGCAGAGAGCGCAGCGGAGTTATCGACGTTATTGCCACTGCCGCCGCCGCTGCTGCTGTTGGTGCTGTTGCGCCAAGAGAAAAAGGGAGACGCGCACACTACGGGGGTTGCGAGCGAAAGCGCAAGCGCTATGTACTGTAATACGAACGTATATATACACACACACACACACCTATACGAAACTCGGGGGGTTACTCGCTCGAGCTTGCAGCAGCGGCAGCAAAGCACGAGAGCTCTTTTGCTTCATATAGGGCAGCTAGCTAGCTAGAGCTTGCAGCGCCCGCGCGGTGGTGTGTGCATGTGTGCGCTGCACTTACTATATCTACATACATACGTGCGCGCGAGCGAGCGAGCGAGCGAACGGACGGACGAGACGAGCGACTAATTGCTTCGCGAGACACACACAACGAGGAGAGAGAGAGAGAGAGAGAGTGCAGAGAATCGGAAAAAAGCCTCGGCAGAAAGAGCGTAAACGTTATCGATTTCTTCGGATTCTAATTAGCGCGAGTGAGCGAGCGTTGTATGACGAAACTCAAAAAAAATTGTTTTTCAACGGTTGCGTATATGCCGAGCAACGAATATTATGACACACTACGAGGACTAGAATTTCCACGAATCTCACCTGTTATAAGACTTACTTTGCTTTTCTCGCTCTCCTTCAATGTATACCCGTATAAAGAGGTATATTACGAGCGTCGGGTCAATGACTCGTCTTTGCAGAGAATCCACTCACTCCTGCGTAGCATTAAATTTTATAAAATGCAAGCGGCGAGCTTGCGAGTCGAGCTGTGCACAGTAGCGCAGCGGCGTGCAAGCTCTCCCTTTCCATTCCCTGCCTGCCTGCCTGCCTACCTGCCTGCCTAACTCGACCCCATCGTCTGCGCAGTGCAGTGGCAGGTATACGCGTGCATGTATGCGGGGTACGAGTGTGAAGCCTAGTGCACGTGATGTACAAATGGGCTGGTAACAACGATTGACAGGCATGTAACCGCTCGCGCGTTCGCTCGCTGGCGGCGGCTCTAAACCAATAACGAGAACAAGAGCTATGAATATTCAACGGTTGATCCTCGTTCTCTCTCTCACTCTCTCTCTCTCTCTCTCTCTCTCTTGCGCTCGCTATAGTGCTCGCATATAGCTATAAATGTATATCTCGACGCTGGCCTCCGTACGTGTGCGAATGTGTGTGGGTATGTGTGTTTACATGTAGTCATGCACAATATTATTTAATGTGCCACATATAGCCGTGTGACAATAATTGCGCCGCGCTCGCGCGTGTATACTTGTACGTCATTTGATTTGCTCTTTATTTATACAATACGTGCGAGAGCCGACGGTAAACGTTTACATAGGTACGCGCACTCGTATAATCCGGGTAATTGCTATTGTTATTGCAAAAGTCGAGTTTACCAACGAGCCAGCTCGTGATTGAACCAATTCTTCTTCTTCTCTTTTTTTTCGTTCCTTGCATGACCTTTTGCCCAAAAGTAGGAAGCTCTGCGAGCAGATGAGCGGGCCGCGTCGTCGTATATATATGTAATAGACATGCGAGCGAGCAACCGACGAGAGAGAAAAAAATAACGAGCAGCTGAGCAGATATGCCCGCCCTAACGAGCGGCTCATCTCTCTCTCTCTTTCTAGCGCACAGACGATGTACAACTTGTATAATATACGGATAAATGACCCCCCCGCCCGCACTCAAGAGCGCGAAAAAAAAACCCAAGTTTTCGAGGGAGAAAATATATCTAACGACTCGGAAAATGCCTCGCTTATACACATTTCCCTCGCTCTAGCCCGCCCACACTCTCTCCACCTGTTCCTTTCTCTCTTTTCCTTGCGCATAGATCTCGCTCTCGTATACATTTTACTGCTGTACTGCAGCTTGGAGTATGATATATATATACAGCTCTCGGCCGCGCGCGCACAAGAGTATGCGCGCTGTAAACCACTTATGCTAACAAGTTAGATATGCCTTATATGTACCCCAGATGCCGTATGCGCGGTATGTACATTTGCGCGCGGGAGGATCTTTTCTAATAGGATAACTTCATGTTATATGTATTCGCGTGTATAATATACTATATATAATAATATAATAAGGTGTGTGCAGTGCACACATGCCGAAGGAAAAAGAGACGAGACTCGACGACGATATCGCGCGCATGGTGATCGCGCACGGATTCAGTGCTGAATCGGTCGTCGCGATTATGTCGTGAAATAAAAATTTAACGGCGTTCAAGTGGACACGCGCGAGGAGCATTCCTTCCTTTCCTTTCGACATATATTGCGTAAAAAATCACTTTGAAATTCTTTTCACACGCCGAGTTGGATAGGAACAAACGTGTCAGGCAGCAGCAGCAGCAGCAGTAACTGGCAAACAGAGCGAGTGCAAATATTATTTATATACTCGGTCTCTCGGGCTGGTATACACAGATGCTTCGGCTGGTACGAGTGTACGTACGTGTGTTTTTCGATATGTACGAGCATAGTCTAAACTCACTGTATATGGCCTATTCGAAAAGAAAAAGAGAGGCAGTGCACAACATAGTAGCGGCTGCAGAAGCCTAGTGCTAGTAGCAGTGTAAAGCTGAAAAATGAGCGAGCTTGAAGAAAAAATGGAACTTGAGAAGCAGAGCCAACAAAGCGAACGAGTAGTAGAGCATGCAAGCAGTCAGGCAGGCTCTGAGAGCGAGACCAAGAGATGATTTTTCTGCTCTCTTTTCGATGTTTTTTTCTTGTGCTACAACTACTTCTACCTCTACTGCTGCTGCTGGTTGGTACTACTTGCTGTTGCTGTTGCCAGTCTCTTTCTCTTGACCTGCCTTTTCTCTTTTGGCCCTTGCGCTCTCTCTCTCGCTCTCGTGTACACTGCATCTGTGTGTGTTTGTATACGTGTGAGCGAGTGCACTCTTGTACACGTACACACGCGTACGGATATACACAGAACAGGCTTCTCTCTCTCTCTCTTTCTCGTGCACCTGCACACGAGTCTATCTCTTATATTTTTCATATATACGTTTATTTAGCTTGCGGTGTACTTTCATATTATGCGCAGTATTATTCGTCGGGAAAAATTGCGCACAGCCGAGAATCTGATGTATATCATCTTCTTCTTCTCTTCTACTACTTTCTTTTTTTTTTTTTTTTACTTCGTACCGCACACCCCCTTAGTGCCGTGTGGCGCAGAGCAGCAGCCCTCATCTTTGTAGCGGCGAAAAAACACACGCGCATATACTGTATAATACGCACACGCACACCCACGTACACTTACAAAATTGTTGCCTCCTCTTCTTCATCATCGCTGTTATATGTTATATATATAAGCATAAATATTTCTCTACCATTTGCGTCGGTTTTCCTTCCGGATTTTTTAGTCTTTTCATTCTCGAGCTTGTGCACGTGTATACCTCTATGTACATATATACGTAAACTGAGCACGTAGCCAAACTCATTATTGCAATACTAGTACGGCGGGAGTATAAAAAATAAGCTGGCAATTTACAACGGCTGCTTCGAATTAAATCTTGCATACATACATATATACCGCTATATAATGTATACAAGCGATAATTTTGCTACGCGACGTGTACGAGTGTGCCCGCTTTTAGTCGAAAGTGGGGGAATGAATATAAAAGGAAAAGAGAGAGAGAGAGGGGGAAAGTAAAGTAATGGAGAACGCACAAGCTGCAAAACACCAGCGTCTTTTCTCTTAGCCGATTCCGCAATTAACGAGCGCAAACCAATTCTTATCCATACACGTACACAACATATTCTATACCTTCCACCCCACCCGCTCCTTCTTTTTTTGTGTTCTGCTCGCTGCCAGCCAGCCACAGCAGCAGCAACAACAGCACTAGCAGCTTAAGTTCGGCAAACGAAATACGATGTCAGAAGGGGCTAATTGCACAACAGAGCGAGCACGGAGGTGATTAATAAAGCTCGACCGTGTATTTTATCCGAAGCCCCGATTAAAGCTCGCCTGGGTGTACGATATGTTCGTGTGGGTGTGTGTATGGCGCGTGCGTATACGTGTGTGCGGCTAGTTGGTTTCAAGAACGAGAATATGAGGCTGTAAAATTAAATTCTCTCTCTTTCTCTCTTATAGGTCGAGGCTTTGTGTCTTTTCCTTTTTCTGTCTTTTTTTTGTGAATCGATTTTTATGCTTCTCGCCGAGCGTACTGCGTTACATCACCCATATAAGTCGAGAAAAATTAAATTTTTTCGTTTGCGAAAAGATTTTACTCGCGTGAAAGAGAAAAAAAACTTACGACCTATTTTTTCGATTTCGCGAGAGAGAAAATTCTCATTCCCAAAAGTACAAAAGTCGCGCGCACGCTATGTGTTCGATCAATTTCGAACGCACTTTATACGTCGCTGCTGCTGCACGTCAGGAACTTTCACCCTTAAAAAGAAAAGGTAAATACGACAGGGCCAAGGATTTTCCCTTTACACACGCTGAAGATGGACATACATGTGGGTGTGTGGAAGAAGTTAGCTCACGTGTAAAATGAAGGTTTTACGTCGACGGGGTCAAAGATAGATACGACGTAGTTATATAAGCTGAAGTTCTCGTGATGCACGCCTCGTGTAACGTCCCTTTAAAGTTATCAGAGAATCTTGACTGCTTGTTCGGCGCGGGCAAGAATCTATCCTTGTACGGGTATGTATAGTGGAGTATATGGTATATACTCCAAACCAGCAGCAACAGCAGCGGCAGCAGAGGCAAAGTTTGTCTTGGCTTCTAGTACTATTTCTCTGTACGTAAACATACTTCGTCAAACTGAGCAAAACACGGTATTTACATTCATGAGTATTCGGCGCGAACTTGCGCTGCTGCGCTAACGCTCATAACGTTTTATGCGCTGAGAGTTATAATTACCCCTCGAGCCTATATAAAAGCGCTAAAGTTCGATAACAAACGTTGTATAGATTTTCACCCGTGTTATCAATGAAAACTTGAAATTACTAAGGGTTTCGCGTACCTTTTTTTTTTCATTTTAACGTAGATTCAGGTATGGTGTTTCAATTAGGTAACGAGTTTCATACCGAAAGAGTGGTATATACACTCGTACAAGTTGCACGCGATATTTAATACTTTTAATTTTAAAAGAGTACATAGAACAACGCGGCGATGGTGCGTTTATTAGGTTAGAGATAGAGCTGTGCGAGTATCCGATTTTTCGAGTTCGAGTCAAGTCGGGAAGATTCGAGTGCTCGAGATTTTTGGGGTACACGCAGTGCATTTAAGTAAATAAATAATGAATTATCAGTCTCTAGATCCCCTCCCTTTGTGTGTACATGGTTATAAGTGTGACTTAAATACATTGCGAGTACTCGGAAGAACGCGAGTACCCGAAACAACGCGAGTACTCGACTCGAACTCAAGGAAAAAGCTTGAACTGGACGAGTCGAGTTTTTTCGAGTACTCGCACAGCCCTAGTTGAAGAGGATAATATAAGTTAACTTGAGTTATTCAGCAAATAATAATTAATTAAAGCAAAAACGTCTGTACGTGAAAATTCCCGTGCAATTTGATATTTTCTCATTTTCTTTAATGTAACCGTCCGTTCGAAGCAACTATAAAACCGTAATACCGTAAAGAATGATTACTCGACTCGTATACGAAGGGAAATAAACCTTTTTAACCGATGTGCTCTACAGACGCTGAGACGTCAGCGACCGCTGTCGGACCGGGGCGAGACTTCCCGGAGTTTTCCGCCGAGTGCCACGCACACGACGACAGAGGACGTCCTGCACACGGACGAGGGGGCCACCTCCGATCCCAACGCCGAGGACGACGACGAGGAGGAAGCCTTCTTTCGAGCTCCTCAAGGACTTCAACAACAACAGCAGCAGCAACAGCAGCAAATAGACGGCCAAAGCCAATTGACCGACGAAATAATGAGCGCCGCCGCCGCCGCCGCTCAAGGAAAATCCATCGACGTCGAGGACGGTGGAGGTGCTGGTGCGGGAGCAGCTGCAGCGGCCACACTGGATTCCATTAGAATTGGCGTCGACTCGATGTGGTGAGTTTTACTTTGCTATATGTACAAGTTTTCGTGTACATACCAACGTCGCCGTACTCGACCTGAAAATAACACTCGAGAGCATTTAACGAAGCAATCGCTTCGACAAAAGCGTCTCGTGTAATTTTTCAATTTTCGAGCAAAGCGACTACTCGCTGCAAGCTTAAAGACTCTGCGCAGTCTCAAAAAACAGCAGTTTCGTTTCCCCTAATTATTCGGCGCGCGGCGCGCCCTAATGCCGTCCATACTACCCCGAGTAATTATTGTCCCGTTTTTCACTTTTTTCTTTCTTTTTTCACGTCGATATTCAGGAGTGCCGAAAGCTTAACGAGCGCGGATAAACAGCAGCAGCATCCGGAGGAAAGGGCTAGCATCGACGGTCACTCTAGACGAGCGGCGGCTCACAAGGCTATATCATCCAAGGACCATTATACGCTCAGGTACTTGCTAATGTTTGCTTTGCTTAATTGCAAGGCAGAAACAAGTATATACCTTGTTTCTATCTTCTTCTTTTTTTCTGCTCCTTTTTCTCGTCTCTTCTAACGAGGATAATTTTATTTTGCAAAAAAAAAAATCAACCAACTAACCGACCGACCGACCAACCAACCAACAGAACCAGGCCAGAGCCAGAGGTGCAATATCACCATCCGCAAGCCGAGGCAATATTGCCAAGGGTGAAAACGACTTTCGGCGGTAAACGCATACACCCGAGCACCATCGATCGCGTCTTCGATAACAGCAACCGCAGGCTCTACGGCATGGGCATCGTTGGACGTTTCTTCGGGTAAGTCTGCAGCTAGTGTCTCTCTTTAGTGTCTGTGTTATTTTTTACGTTTTTTACCTTTTCTCGTATAATGCGGACACCACCACCGATAACTGTTTTTCATCGTGTATACATAATTTTTTCTTTCCTCTTCACTAATAGGTCGGTTGGTCTACGGTCGTAGCGCGAGGCCGCGCATACATGAATATCGGAAATTTCATTTGTACTCGCAGCCGCCGTTGGAAGAAGAGCGAAACAAAAATTTGCACCTGCTCTCACGGTCGCGCGAAGCCTCTTCCCTCCGTTTGCTTCTAAATACGTAGTTGCGCGGCGCTGCGATGATAAATAGCTCCGCGCGCGCAATGAAAAATTAAAAAATCACAATCGCTGCGCGACGGTGATAGTAGTAGTAACGCTTGCATATTATGTATAGTACACATAGATCAGAGCAGGCGTATGTGCGAGAGCGGGGGTGGTGGGTGGAAGGGTTTTACAGCACGCGTGCCACGATGATCGACCTAGAAACCCCAAAGTCAGCAATTTATATGCTGTTAGCCGTTCTCTCTCTCTCTCTTCTCTATAGCTCTTCCTTCGTTCAATTTTAACGTATATAACCCTCGTGGAGAAACTTTTGCCACTCCCTCACCCTCGTCTATATCTCGCGAGCAGCTCGCGCGCGCAAGTTTTTTTATACTCATCGAAAACTGAAAGTTACGAGACGTTCACGCAGCTCCATCGCCTCCTCTCCATTGCCCCTTCCCTCCAAAAGTGTTATATATACACTTTTTTTCACCTTATAAACTCCAATATTTAACGCATGTTCCTCTATACTGTAATGTATCGCACCTATACAGCGAGCGAAAGAGCGAGAGGGTCTGGCCTCTTTTTTCTTCGCTCTTTTTCTCCTCTTTTTTACTTCCTTCGGCTTACCCGTGCTGCTGCTGCGGCCGCGCCACATGCTCGCGACACACACTCGTAACAGCGCGCCTATACCTATATATGTATTACGTACAACCCTGCACTCGCGTATACGTATACACACATTCTTCGGCGACCCACTTTTTTCGAGCGTCATTTTACACCCTATTTACTCATTTACTATTTTTTTTTTCTTTCCTGTCCCGCTGCTATTCATGACACGGGGGCACAAGTCGACGCGAAACGAGCGCGAACGAGGTGGTTTTTATGCTCGACTTGTTTCTTTGATTGCTGCGTGCGGCTGCAGCTGCAGCTGCAGTGCAGTCCTAGCGTTATACTTATGCCGAAGGTATAAGCTTCTCGAGGGATCTCCACCGAGCGCCCATTGTAACGGAGAGAATATTTTTATCGTGAAATTACTCGGGTGGCACTTTGGTGGCCTGACCGAAAGCCGAGCCATACTACTTCCTTTTTCTTTTCAGCTTGACAATGGAGTAGTACAACACAATGCGTATCGCGTAACGTTTGGTTCATTGTCTTCTTTCTTTTTTTTGCAGGCGATCGTTTCGCAAGAGCGTCGCCCAGAAACCGGACGTCAGGAGGCAGCTGGACGACTTTGAGGATCATCGGCCGTACTTCACTTACTGGATAACCACCGTGCAGCTGCTCATACTCATCATCTCGCTGGCCTGCTACGGCTTCGGGCCCGTCGGCCTCGATCTTCATCATCGCTCGAGCTTGGTAAAAGTCCTTTCCTCGTACAATTATTTATGTGTCGAATATTTACAACGAAAGCCGATAAATCAAGGCATTGTCAAACAGCGAATTTCTGGCGTGTGTAGGCACACATGAAATTTACTGCTATGGACAAAAGTAAACAAACGTGGGAGCGCGCGCGCGATATTCGCTCAAATAATTCTCAATCCTACGTACACGCATTGAATTATAAAATCAGCCTTTGTTTCGTGGATGAATTTATTATTAATTTGCGCGAGTACCTCGTGCTTGCAACCTCATGTGTTTTTGTTCTTACTATACGCGTATGTAACATAGAGGAGTAAATATAAATCGAAAAATTACGAATTTCATCATGAACTGCGAGAACGAGCTCGATGCAATATTGCTGCGCGCACCGGTGTTGCGAGCGCGGAGCATGCGCGCGAGCGAGTAATACAATTTCCGTGCGCGGAGCAGCATAGCGTTTGGAGCTCTCTCTCTCTCTCTCTCTCTCGCTCACTCTCGAATTTCACGCCTCGGCGCGGCGCGCACACATCTCTTTCGTAATTGATTTTAAAAAAATGTAATTTCTTCCGGATTTAGTTGGTTTCTTTCACGCGTGTATAACGCGGAATACGAGCGAGAAAATAATGAGAACAAAATTAACGTAAATAACGTGAAAGTACTTTTAATGAAGATATTTACCAGTAATTATCTTGATGACGATGAAAATAAATATAACGAAACATTTATAATGATAAGAGTAAAAATAAAACACGCAAAGATAATTTATCATTAATATTATTATTTTCAGGTGCTGGTTACGTCGCTTTCGTTGCAACAGGTCGAGTATCAAGAGCCCGCGAACTTTTGGCTCGGCCCCCGGGCCTCCGATCTCATACATCTGGGCGCCAAGTTCGCGCCCTGCATGAGACGCGACATCAAGATACTCAAGGAGATCGACGTGTGGCGGGAAAAGGAGCGAGACACCGCCTGCTGCATCAGGAACGACGACTCGGGCTGCGTGCAGTCTAGTCGCGCCGAGTGCTCTGTGAGTTTTGACGTATTACCTATCGCGTAACTTTATAATTATCGATAAATCGATGAAACAATATTTTCAATGAACTATTTGCATTTTAATTGCATTACAATCAAGTATAAATATTTGTACTGTGAATTATAATATTAATTCTCTCTTTTTAAACCAACTGGTCCGGGGGATGAGCTCCACTTCTACGGTAATTTCTAACGCAATATGAATGAATTATGATTATTGAGTTGTTCTTATCCTCAGTATTCCCTTTGTTTATTTTGGTTAGAACGTAGATAATATATGCAAAACCTATACTACACATTCATTATATTAAACATTTATCTCTCAGTAATAATGAAATTTCTCACGAATCATAAATAACTCTTGGCCTTTCTTCAGAACACAATATCGACGTGGAAAAAGTGGGGCCCCGCGGACAGCGGACCCGGTGGTCGCATAAGCGGCTCGGTTTGCGGTCTAGATCCTAAATTCTGCGACGCTCCAGCTAGCATAGCACCGTACGAATGGCCCGACGACATCACGAAATGGCCCATTTGTCGGAAAATCAATCCGTTCAGTCAGCGCTTCAGGTATTATGGCCGCCTTTTATAATTCAATCGATCAACTATACGTGCCCGACTAAACACCGTACGTGTATTACTTCTTTCGCAACAGAAGCAAGCAAGAGTCCAACGGGCCGGGAAACGCCAACTTTCCGATCGGCTACAAGGATAAGATGGCAGAGCACATGGTGTGCGAGGTGATCGGTCATCCCTGCTGCATCGGCATACACGGCACGTGCCGCATCACCACCAAGGAGTACTGCGACTTCGTGCACGGCTACTTTCACGAGGAGGCCTCGCTCTGCTCGCAGGTCGAGTGCCTGCACGACGTCTGCGGCATGATACCGTTTCTGCATCCCGAGTGGCCGGATCAGTTCTATCGACTGTTCACGACGACGTTTTTGCACGCTGGGTGAGTTCGTTTGACCGACGATTCAATGCCATTGTGGGTAATTTGACACGCAAAAACTTAATTTCGTTTTTCTTTGCAGCATATTTCACATAGCCATTACGCTGTTGGTTCAATATTTCTTGATGAGAGACTTGGAAAAACTGACTGGTTCGGTGCGCATAGCGCTGATCTACTTCATCGGTGCTTTGGCTGGTAATCTTGCCAGTGCCATTTTCGTGCCCTACAGAGCAGAGGTAGGCATTCGTGTTACTCGAAAATCATTCTATAAACTACTTATAACGGATGTCTATAAATTCTCTATGCTCCTCTTTCAGGTCGGTCCTGCGGGTGCCCACTTCGCTCTGCTGGCCACTCTGGTCGTGGAGGTGCTGCACTGTTGGCCGATGCTGAAATATCCCCGGCGAGCCCTCAGCAAGCTCATGATCATCTTAGTAGGTCTGCTGATGCTCGGCGTTCTACCTTGGGTCGACAATTACGCCCACCTGTTCGGCTTCATATTCGGCTTTCTCGCCGCGTACGCCCTCATGCCGTTCATCTCGTTCGGACACTACGATCGCCGTCGCAAGATCTTCGTCATCTGGATCTGCTCGCTCCTCATACTCGGCCTCTTCGGGCTGCTGCTGGCGCTGTTCTACAACGTCCCCATGTACGAGTGTGAGCTCTGCAAGCTGTTCAACTGCATACCGTTCACGCGGGACTTTTGCGCCTCGCAGAACATCAATTTCAAGCGCGAGGAGCCGGTATGACGTAGGGGGCCGCGGCCACCGGTCGGTGCAGCGGGGCGCGCTTATTGGCAGCCGCTCGGCCCATCGTCTATTATCCTGCTTCTCGCGAGCAAAAGATGTTTATTCACGAGTTACTACTACCGCTTGTTGTTCGGTGATAGCGAGACCTTGAAGAAAAAGCCTGGACTCGTGCAGCGTCTCAGACTCGCCGTCGACGCTATCTGTTGTCGTTGTTGCTGTTTCTGTTAAACACTTCTTTTATACTTGTCTATTTTTTCTTGTTTGTGACTAGTGCAGTAGCAAAATCCGTACGTACGCATTAATTATGACATAGACGCGTAACGATTAGCAATGTGACTGTTCGATTACTTAAAAAGACTTAGCTTCGTAATAATAAGAAATTACGGGTTGAGTTGCTCTCATTTCACGATATAACTAGCATTTATTATTATTATTGTGCAGTGATTACGATAAATGATAATTAAACAAGCATGGAAGGTATTTTTTATCGAACCACTCTCAAATAACGTATGCATGCGAAATGCACGAGCCAGAAAATTAAATACTAACAATAGTGACAATATATCGTGCACTATTATATATGTATGTATAAATACATAAGTATCGTCCTCGATAATAATACAGACTGCCCAATAACAATATCTATAGAAAAAGTCTGATATCTGTGCATTTGCGAAATTGGAGAATAAATATAAGCATAGGTTGTTTTAAACAAAAAGTCAATCACAAGGTGGAGGATAATGAAAAATACGATTTTCAGTGTTAGTAATGTTTGAACAGAATTAACATAGAAGAGCAATCATTGGATACACACTTTACTTCACAGATCTGTGGACAGAGTTGTTCGGCACAATATTAGCAAGATTATTATTTTCAAGAACTATAACTACGCGATAGAGTTCGACTTTTAACTGTTTGTTTTGCTACTGCCAGTTTTTTTCTTCCTATAAAAATTCTTATTCGACAACAGCTGCATGATAAAATAACGTGTTCATCGGTATGGCCGACGATAAAAAAATTAAAAATTAATGCCTTAAAAAGTAAGAAATTGATCCCATACCAACCGATGACGGAATAATAAAATAAGCGAGCAAAGTGACGCGTGATATGAAAAAAAAGAAAATAAAACGTGATTTGCCCGTATAAGGGCGTTTGTATATATTTCATATAGGTTTATAAATAATGTGTATTTAACTTTACTTAATAGATATAAAACAAATTATACGAAAAAATTTAAAAAAGTCGCCGTTTATAGTATCTTCTAATCCCTTTTCGAAGTATTAACATATTAAAGAACGATTGATGAACGAGTTAAATAGACATTATCTCAAAAAAGAACTCTCAAATGCAAAGCATCATCTTGAGGAGACATATACCATCGTATACTTTGTGGACTTTGCAAATTGAAAAAAAAAGAAAGTCTTTCGCAATGTTAGGCGTTTTAAGATTGCAAGAATTCTTGCTTATGTGTGCGTGTAAATAAACCCGGAAAAAATGTCGAGCATAGAACGAAGAATCGCTGAAAACAAAAGGGCAGAAAAATCGGTAGATTCTTGTTCAATACCTCATAAATGATATAAACGACTTTTATTAAAAAAAAGTAGTATAATAAGATGATATAATCTAAAAAAATCACATTGAGGTTTACAAAGTGTTTATTGGATCGTTCGCAACGATTAAAAATTGAAGAGGAAAAAATCCAAGGTGTACTCGCGGCAAAATGATCTCGATAGTGCATTTTTTACCGTAATCGACGATAGAAAAAAACATAAAACTCGATTGTTGAAAATATTTATTGTGAGTCCGTGAGTATAAGATACGATATTAATGATATTAAACGTATATCAAACAAAAAATAAAAGTCTAAATCAATGTTTTCCCGACGACTGTATATATTAATGAAAATACAATTAGATGATGAAACGATCAGGAGGATTATCGATTTAGCTACAAATATAAATTAACGCAACATATGCTTGAAAAATAAGTAAGAAAAAACGTCAAGTTTAACGAAACGATTAAAAACGTTGTAACCAATACAAAACGGGGAAAACGAAAAATGGTATTAGTGATTTGTAGAGTTATTATTACGCACATCTGACATTATGTATATGAAAGAACAGCCGAATGGTGAGATGAATAAATAAGACACACTCTTTAATAATTATTAAAAGTAAAAACCAAAGTAACATCTACACTCAATAATAAAGCGTACAGACAAGAAACAAATACACGATTATTATAAGACTATCAGTATATATGAAAGAAATTATTTCGATTTTTCTCAAGTGTATTTAAGCTAAACAAAGTAAACGTAACTTTCACACCAGAGAATACATGCTGCATGAAAGAACGTTTAAAGTATAACAAAAAAAAATATGTTAGCGACGATTAAAGTTAATTATCAGTACTGTGTAACATTGACGCGAATGAGTGTATTTTATTAAATAAGAGGCAGAAGAAAAATTGGGCTAATCGCGTGAGTGAGGCGGTAATATCGCACGTAATGTGTAAGTCGGAGTGCTTGCGAGGGTGCGTGTGAATCATCAATCTTGTGCCACGAAATACTGTTCTGTTTTTTACTCTTGAAAAAATGCCCCTATTCCCCACTTATAAAAACGTACTTGTATTGTTGAACGAAAGAGAGACGTGAGAATCTTTATCAAATTGGCTGTGGTGTACATCGCTTTACTCTTATAATAATTATTTTATGAGAAAATCGAGACTTCGAAATTGATCGTATATTTCATTAGTGAATTGGTTTCGATTAAATAATAGGCAGAATGAGTGAAATTTTGATAGAGCGCCTTGAAACGAAAGTAAAATTGTTCGTGTCACAATGAAGGAGCGTGGATACATTAATTCGACAAACGTGAATTGTTTTATTTCTCGCGAAAATGTAGGAATCTGGATTTATATAAAATGAGAGTTATTAGATGTGGATTGGTTACTTAATATATATATATAATTCAATACGTAGCATTTTATGAGAATACTTTTTAATAAATGTCTGTTGAGCAAACGATTTTCATTTTGTCATTTATAAATAAAGTTTATCTCGACTGTATTAGCTTAATGATAATTATAATATTTATAATAATATTTAAAAGCGTACGATGGTTATTGATCATTAAAGTTTTTTTATATACAATATGATATAACGTGTAGACGTGTGCTAATGTAAAAGTACCATGTGTTATGAAATGCATTGTTTTGTTTTTTTGAATTTTTTAATCAAACTTTCTTATCCCTTTTTTCGTTTAACGATGCCAAATGTTAAAGTTAATGTGTTCAATCTGCGAATCGAAGCAATATTGTATGGATTAGTTCACGAATGAATTGTCACAGTGATATTGAAATAAATGTACTTATTTCAAATGCGAATAAAAAATTGACTTTGCTGCTAGTGTGTGTGAGCAAGTCTTTGAAACACCGTCATTTTGCCTTGACACTACATTTTTTTTCTTTTAAGTTGTTAATTCTCATCGAGGAAAATAGCAAACGAACATTTTTAAAATCAGTGTGTAATCAATGAACGATATCTGTAAAAGTATGCTGTATGGAAAAATAAAAAAATTATGTCAAGACTAAAAATATTAAAATCACCCTCGTGAGCAAGGAAAATGAAAACTATAACGAACCCATGATATTTCCATGCCTTATCGCTACGATGTGGAATATCATAAAAATACTCGATGCCTATGAAATGATTTTAAATTACAATCTTTTTTTCGATGATTTTTTATCGACGACGTAAAGTTGAGTAAAGATAAATGGATAAAAACATTTGTCGCGGTCGCACAGATTCTTGTATATATTAAAAAAAATAAGGAGGCGTCAAAGATAATGGACCAAGGAAAAAATGAAGGGGTGTCAACTTGTAAATCACATTTGTAAACCTGAAATTGAAAAAAGTATTTCAAAAGGAATTAAGCATTACCACTGATTGGGTACTAGACGTTTTTTCGGAATATTGTGCGGATATAATGTAATGATATGTATTCAGAGTTAATGTTAATGTTTAGGAGTCGTTTAAGAGGACAGAAAAAATAATAGATTTGATGCGACGATGTTGTTGATAATTATGAGTATCAAGTGCGTTTTTTGTTCATTCGAGAATATCTTTAGAACTATTCAATAATTTGAAATGTTTAGACGAACAATCTATATGCGGAGTTTCAAAGCTGAAAAAAGGAAGAAAGAATTGTGCGTGTATATAATACAATTAAAAAAAAATTAAATATAAAAATGAAAGTTGCGAAAATGATAAAAGTAAAATTTAAACAAAAGTATTCCACAGCGTGAGCGAGGGTATTATTTTTCTGTATTTCTGTATTTATACATAATTGAGTGAAAAGATCGAGTGAAAGGGGGGGGGGGGGGGNGGGGGGGGGGGGGGGGGAATTATAATGAATTAATAAAAGTACCATTACAAGATAAAAAACATTTAACAAAAAGTGTTTCCGAGTCTGCGTGTGGCATGTAATAAAAGAAGTACGGCGAGAATGGAATATTGTGAAAAAAAAACCTTTAAAAAGTAAACGAAGTAAAAATTACGAAGTTAAATAACCTCGACGCTTTTGATTTTACAACAGAAAATATAAAAGAACGAAATCTTGGATAATCGGGAAAAAATGGTGTCTTCGATTCTATGATTATTATTATCTAATCATAAAAAAAAACGATACATTGTACTTGTCGCTGTTATATACGTATATATATATGATATAAATATTATATATATATAAAGAAAAACACAGTATATACAAATTAATTTAATAATAATAAAAAGAAATGAAAACAAATTATTCGTTTCTTTTTACTCTGTCTCTCTCACTTTTACTCGTAATAGGTCACGACGACCATACCAACGGCAAAGAACGACAGCTCCTCGTGCACGTGAAAGGAGCAATAATCGCGCTCGGGGTCCCACATCTTGCCTTGGACGCAGGTCAGTCCCTGGTCCGCGTTCTCGTAAATCGAGACCGTCACCAAGTACTTGACGCTGACGAGAAATTTCGGTGAGATGCATGAAAATGAACGAAATCACAATTCCATCGAGGTTTTTTTTACCGTACCGATCGAAGTCCGTCTTGTAGAGTTTGTCCCTGACCTGGATGGCGATGTCGCTGCACCACTTGGCCGCCTCGTCGGCGCAGTAGACCCGATCGCGCAGATACTCGGTCATGGCGGCGACGAGGAACTTGTCCGAGACTCTCTTGTCGAAGGGCAGCATCGGCTCGAGCCGATAGCTGTTGGCGAACTTGGGAGTCTTGAAGCCGGCATTGGTGCGCCAGGAGATGCTCGGTCGCTGGCCGTTGAAGGTGCTGCGCCGACCCGAGCGACGATTCGCGGCCTCGAGCTCGAGCACCGACGGATGCAGCGACACGCCTAAGAACGAATCGATTTTTGGATGGATGGATGATAATTTTGTAGCGCAGCTTGCATGGATGGATGTAAATTCGCTCACTGTCGATGGTTTTTTTCCCCTTCTTATCTTGCTGTTGCATTTCGATGACGCGCGTCTCTCGATCGATTGCCGAGGTATAAAGGTTACGTTATGTACTTACTGTTTTGAAAATTTGAACTCTCAGTATAATTGCATGTTACAAAACAATCGCTCTATGGTTTTTTTTTTTCGAAAAATTGCCGCCACTACTTAGCCTGCAAAAATTTGACGGTCATCGATACCGCTTGGCGCGTGCGCGAAAACACGCAAATTTGAACTATCAACAACGCTGCGGAACAACGACATCTCGCTCTACCCTCGGAGCTGCATTTATCATTCGGACGGTCTAATGCGTACACATTATTAATATATTTACGCAGCTATCTTCGATTCTGCAATCTGCAATAAAATAAATACCATCGGCTTTAAATATGATTCATCGCGCTCATATTGAGCTACCGCTGCAATAATAATACGCGACTGCCTTGTTATCTGCCACCGCACCGACGACGCTGCTGCTGAAAGGAGATAGACCACAGCATAGAGGCGTCAGCGTGACATACACAGTACATACGCCTATACAATATCTGCCTATAACGCTCAATTCGGCGCTCGTATACGCATACACGCATACTACTTATAATTGTAATTGCTCCTCTATTCGTTGGTATATACGAAAAAGCCGAAATCACTACGTAATTAGTCGCGCTGTATACACACGCTCGAATCTGCCGCATCGAGACACTAGGAAAATTGTATATATTATTAAAATATATATTTGTATAGGTGAGTGTGCGTGCTGTCTCATGCTGTATTATTCTACGTGCGTGTTTGTGTGCCAAGAAAAACTGTGTGCGGAGATCTGTAACGCAAGTATTTTCTCCGAGTATACAGGCTCGGCTCGCATTTTCCCTTCGATTATCAATCGAGTACTGTGCGTGCGAGCCATCGTCGACCGTATAACAAGTGTTTGAGGCACGATATAATTTACTCGCGCAATTTTACTGTACGCACGATCGTTGTTACAATAGAGCCGCCATCGACGGACAGCTGATCTGGGTATTGTTTGTAATTGCACATCCTTCGAGCCGCCTCGAAGAATCTTACTTCGCAATTAAATTTGTGACGTTTCACTCCTCTCTTTCTCTACTGTACTCGATAATTTATAGCAAGATAGAAACTTTTGCGTACGCGTGAGTGTTATATATATTAAAATAAGTTACTACTTATCGATCCGATCGACCGTTCGGGCAACAACACAGCTCTTGCCTAAACCTTTCTCACCTTTCTTTCTCTCGCTCTCTCTCTCTCTCTCTTTCTCGCGATAAGTCGAGTTGTTACTCGCTCGTATCAATACCTATCGAGCCATTTAGACCTTGACGAACGATAAGAAAGCTCGTTCAATAAAATAGCATCTATCTCTTCTTCTCTTTCCAGAACTATTCTGTTTACAGCTGACGACGAGACGTCGTCGCGATTGATTGTCGTGTTCGGGGTGGCCTCTGCTGCTGCTACTGCTGCTTTACTTGTGGTGCGTGACTGCGCGCCAGTTGTGTATCCGTATAACGCGAGTGTGTGTGAGTGTTTGCACTTCGTCGCTGTAAACGAATGTAAACCGGAGTTATTGTTTTTCGAATTGAAATATATATCTCACGCACGCATCAAAATAACATATCTTCGCTGAGAGTCCGCACTTGGCTTGTTCTTCTTCTGCTGCAGGTTCGATCGATGTTTTTGCTCACGAATTATCCTTACGCTCGCTCTCGAGTGTATTATTTGGCCATATCTCCAGATTCTGCGATCTATTTTTGGACAATTTCTTCGGGTCATTAATTGCACTTGCTTATTCGGAATCGCTTGACATAACCTCAAATTCCGCGAATTATTTGGCACATACAATCCATCCATGGAGCTGGATTTTAAAGGGATACATTGATAGATGGATGATTTCGTTCTGATGTATCAATGAGTTGTAAACTATTTAGTTTCCCACTATCACTTTTCTACTGATCCACAATAATTTAATTGATTTTTTGTGAATTATAATAAACTAAATTCTTCTCTGTTGAATTTTTATTCATTGCTGTAGCAAATACAAACTACTCAGAAATTATTTAAATGTTTGTTCTCATCCAGTCAAATGTATGCCAATACATTAAGACAAGTGTTTAATAATAGCAAGTAATTATAAAGTAAACAACTTATATATTTATTAATTCATTGGTACTTTAATACAGAGAATAAACAGTGACTAAAATGGCTGCATTGCCGAGAAGAATAATCAAAGAAACACAGAGGCTTATGCAAGAGCCAGTCCCCGGCATCAGTGCTGTGCCAGATGAAACAAATGCCAGATATTTCCATGTGATTGTGACAGGTCCAGAAGATTCACCTTTTGAAGGTGGACTCTTCAAACTGGAGCTGTTTTTACCTGAAGATTATCCTATGTCTGCACCTAAAGTTAGGTTTATCACAAAAATTTATCATCCAAATATTGACCGGTAAGAACATAAATATCAAAAATATTAAATTACCAATTAACTAATTAATTTATTTAATTATAAAATTGAATGCTTCTGCAGGCTTGGTAGAATCTGCTTAGATATCTTAAAAGACAAATGGAGCCCAGCACTACAAATCAGAACTGTGCTGCTATCTATTCAGGCACTGTTGAGTGCTCCCAATCCAGATGATCCTCTTGCCAATGATGTGGCTGAACTTTGGAAAATCAATGAAAGTGAAGCAATACGCAATGCTAAAGAATGGACACGCCGGTATGCCATGGATAATTGATCTCAAAATGAAGAAATTTGAGAAACTGCAGATACACACACATGGATTGCAAAAGACAAGAACATTAATTACGCATACATACAGACATCCGTTCAACACAAATAAAAACTCCTATTCACAAACTTTTCTTTCTTCGCCTATAGTATTTCGTGTCAATTTTACACCTCATGTAAAATACAAGACACTTATTACAAACACTTATAACAGTTATGATAAAATCTGCTAATAAACTCAATTACTTTTTGCTATTTAAGAATAAAACATAAGCTTAAAATAAAAACAAATTTTCTATGAATGTACAGTAAGAGAATGTTCAAGTAACTTAATGTGAGTTCTTTGACTTTTTTCTCTTCTATTGTTGATACTACTATGTTTGTTTAAAAATTATGACTGCTTAAGTTTTTATTTTTTCCATAACATTTTTAGAATTTTACACGTTGAAATTATGTTTCTGTAAATTTTTCTATCAAAATCCACTCTCTAAATAACTATGAAATACGTTAAGACTCTCACATGAATTTAATGTAAAATTTATAATGTGCATCAAATACTCTGAAAGTGAGCTTAAAATTTTCTTCATATGATTTTATTAGTGTGTTGAAGTTAAAAATAGTGAAAAAAGACCAATATGAATAACCCAGAGGCTTTAAAAAAGCAAGAAAAGTCTGGCAAAAATGGTAGATTATTATTTGCCTCTTAATTGCTTGTAAGTCTTACACAAATGATAAAATTTGAAAGAAGCAAAGCATATTATATATTGTAAATCTTTAAGTGCAACAAATTTTGCTAATACTGAAAACAAACGAAAAAAATATATATTTGTAAAGTGAATTTTATAAAAATAAAATACGTGTAATTGAATTGATGTATTTCATTTGAACTATTCTGCGTTTTGTAATCACACGTAGACAAATAATCCCAAATAGATTATTCTGCCAGGCGTCCAAACTAACATCTTTATCCTTAAGTGAGATTGTAAAATCTTAGAGAAGTGAATAATTGATATCTTAGATTTAATTTGCGCCAATACATGAAAAAGGTATTCCTTTTTGTAGATAAGTCTCAAGATCGTAATCGTTTTATATAAAACGAATCGATTGAATGAAGGAGATGATTGTTTGAGAAGCGAGTAATTTTATAAAGTAAAATAAATGGAAAATATTTAAAGCCAACCTTGTTTTTATTCAACCTAATTCAGAAATATATGCAAAACGTGTTTTTTTTGGGTAATGAAAGAAAATAATCAATTGAATTCAAAATTACCGTTTATTGTTGTCTTTGTATGGACTAGTATAGTATTACCATGTACACATTCAATAGCTCGCTTACTTTTTGTTTTTTAACATAACTTATAATACATTCACAAACATTGATAAAGATTAGTCATGAATCTTTTTTTTTACCCATTTTAATCTTGTCGTTTCAATTTCCTCATCAATCTTTGCTCATTTGAGTCAACCTCTTCAAAAACATTATGCAATTTCAAAATCATCTTTGTATATATCATGACCTGTCATCAAAGCTATAATCAGCACAAGCTCTATAACTTTTCTTTATGTATAGTTGTTATTTTTTTTATTTTTTTTTTTTCATATATATAATATATATAATTCTTACTTTTTTCTATTGCCCTCATTTCACACAATATAGCCCAGTATGTTATCATCATTCAATCTTACTGTTTTCATTATAATATATTTATTATAGTTAAATGTTTGTGTTATCTCTTTGTCTATGTTTTTCTTAAAGAAACTTCACTTATGCACCGTTATTTTTTGTCTCGCTTATAATGCTTTAGGTATTTATTATATAGTTGAATCTTTTTTTTCATTTTTGTTATAATCAAGCGCACGCGTAATTTTGAAAATTTTTTTAATGCAAAAAGCTCCAGATGCTCATTTATCATTAGTATATATTATATAATTTGTCAACCATTTATTCATTAATAATAATTATTTTCTGCATTAAAAGATCAGCGCGCTTTTCATGTGTTTTTTATTTCCACCTTCTGCATAAACTTGATATAATGGATAATCACTCTAACAAAACTAACAAAATTAAACGAATCGAAGCATTTCTAAAAACTAGGATTCATTAATGAACAATTTCTTTTAGACAGTCTCAGTTTTTTTTTTTTTTTTTTTTTTTGAAAATTTAGTTTACGTTGCTATTTCTTATTTTTGTTTATTACTTCTTTATAATTCGTCCCGGGCAGCAGTCAATAAACTCATGTTGTCTACTTTACTATTCACTATCACTGGCTTAAATAACATTTTTTTTCGTTTAAATAAAGATCATTTCAATTTGGTACGACTATCACCGAATCACATATATACATATTCTTTTCATCCCAGTACCTTAATTTTTCTTTGAATTAAAGATAAATGGATACAGTTTCCTGATAGTAGGAATAATGAATAAAAATGAGAGTTTAAAAAATTAGCGTGATTGTAATGTTCTAGCATAGTTTGTAATGGATGATAAGTATGCAATATTTTTGAAGCATTTTCAGAGTTATTTTTTTCTGCGCGTCAAAATGCTCCTGTTAAATGCATGTAATATGCGTTGGTACAAAAGAAACGTTGGGCTGCTTAATAATACAGAAAAAAAGTATTTATAAAAACGGCAAGCTTAACGCATCATGGACAAAAGTGAAAAAATAGAAATAGGGAATAGTTGTATACATAATTATTACACTTAAAATATCGCACGTCGAATCTGAATTGTTTTGCCTTGATACATTACGATTCCATAAGCTTTTTTTGACTAGATATTTTATATGTTACAACAACATGATCTTATCATTATATTCAACGAAGTTTGACTTCTGTGCACGACCTTCTTTTTACTGCCGCTCTTTTCCCTATCATGAAATAAAAGAATTAAATAAAAAATTTGATCATAAATAAATAAACCATACCTAACGATAAGGCTAGATATTTTATGCGATTATAAGATATGAATGCACAAGCGTTTCTATAAATTGTACTTTTACTTCATTGAAATGATATTCACTGTCTTTTAATGAATGAACGATTCATTTTAGCGAGTTTCTCTTCGTGCGTTTTTGCGCGCAAATACATAAGTTCATGTTTAATGCAATGTTGAGGTTACATTTGTAATTGTAGGATCAAGTTCAAGACGTACCTTTTTCACACTCAACCATCATCTCAACCATTTACAATAACGTCATTGCTATCTACTGTATATCTTACTAATCTATACAAGATTATCTTACGTAATAGTTACTTTTATAATCGCATTATCACACGTAACTTTTTAAAAATGTACATATTCACGATAATTTGATCCTTTTACACGTGACTCATTTCGACTGATATGCAAATGGATGAGCGATTTATCTCAAATAAAGCGTCTCGTTTTTAATTTCGTTTTCATTTACTCGCGCGCTTACATTTTACATGTACTCATAATTTTTTCGTATACAAAAAAAAATTATGAGAGGAACGAGAGAGTTAAATTACTATACTGCTACCAACGCAACGACGATACTTTCATGAGAGTATGGAATCGTTCATTTATGATTATTTCCAAACAACAGGTACACGTGCATCCATTCGAAATGCATTTCAGCTTATTATAATGTGCTTCTGATAAATTAGCTGTATGAGTTATTCTTTACTTTCTACTGGCAATATCGTTTAATTAAAGAACAGAATATAAACTATTAATCTATACGATGATCGGTAACATCGCCATAATCTCAACTCAAAAATGGCCAGATTTCGTGTTGATTTATCAAAAGGTAACGTTTCATTAAAAATGTAAACTTATAAAATATTTTCCTAAAACATACTCAACTTGTACACAATTTATTACGTCGTCACGTAGGTACTAAAAGAATTAAATAAACCAAAAAATATATGAATATCATACTTCATAAAATGTATCATTGCTAACGCTTATTTTTCCACGTACTTTGGCTTCGAAATCAACCCATTTTGATGATAAAACGCTTATGAATACAATCGAAGCTTTGAGCTGTTGAATTTCAATCATCGTTCAAAGTACACATTTATAAAGCGAATTGTTATTTGGGTTTTATAAACTCGAAAAGTCATGTAAGCAAAAATATACATAACAATAGTTACAAACGTGCTATTGCGTTACTGATCGGTAGAGACAGGCGTCAGTATAAGACAACCTATGATATATAATATGATATTTTTTAATTTTCTTTTATAGCAAAGTTTTATAGCTTCTCTTAAATCTGTGATTTATAAATCACTCTGTGTAACACTGTACACACTCCTTTTTCAATATAAAGCAACTCAAGGACAGTTAAAAGGAGTTTACTTCCTCGGTTTCATTTTTTTTTTGCGTGAAGTACGTACAGTAAATATCAACGCGAATGCACAATTGCTACAATTTATATGGTTATACGTTGTAAAAAAATCATTTATTTTCTAATTCGAGTAAAATGAACAGGAATATGCAGTATGGCGATAAATATATAATCTTTTCCTTAACTCTCTTTGGAATAAGTCTAAATTTAGAATATCATCTATAGTCGATTTGTTTACATGTCCTTTTGGTAATTTTCTCTTCCGTTGTCACAAAAATAAATATTTTTTTAGCTACGATTGCACTGATGCAATTACCTTGTTTCACGGTTACGAGCTATAGTTTGTAGGCGATACCTAAACGTAATCGCTGCTACTAAGAATCGCTAAGATTCTGCCCTTTATAATATTTACAGTTCTTACAAAACAATTAAACATTTTTACTTGAAAATATTGTTCACTATAATGCTATTTTCTCTCTTCATGATATAAGTTATAAAAAAACAAACAAGGTACAAACAGGCAGTGCAATACGTTGATTTTTACTGTTCTTGTACTTCTTGCGCTTAATCAATAAGATACACAGTCAGATTCGAAAAAGCTTCAATTATATACCATGACATGAATTTCACGTCGATATATTTATACTTTTAGTATTCGTATAGTTACGTTACATTAGTACAAATTATTATTTTTCTTAAGAGAAATCCATCACGATGTATATATAATATATTTATATTTATAGACTGACTTATAATTACTGGTTTCCCAATTATTTCCATGATTGCATACACGTAGAGCTTCTTATTTTTCTCGCTTAAATTTTCTGCTTTTCTATTCGGTACGCAAGATTACATTCAAAATCATTAATAAATCGTTCTTCGATAAAACTATTATCTGTCTAGTTAACTTATTAATTTTAATATTATACAGTTTTATAGCTTTACACACACGAACATGCTCAGACTTCATAGCGATTTAAGATGAGTTTTTGTGCTATATTTAAAATCATGTGCATCTAATTATTTTCTTTGCTTGGCCTTAAAACTATTATGATTTCATACCTCTGTCATTACGTAGCCTTGATTTGTATCATATTTATATATTACTTCATATAATATAATATAATATGTTGCTGTCGTACTGAAATTCTTTCGTTCACCTTATCTTTTTTGCATTCATGAATACGCTTGAGCGCGATTTTCAATGTGTGCATAGCAATTGGATCTCTTGTGTGTCTATTATAAGTTTACATGCGAGCGTCATGTTTGTGCTCGAGATTCGACATGGATGTCCGTAAAAATTATTCATATTCATTTATTGTAAAGAAAGCGTTAATACTTTAGCGGAGACTGAGATTTAATTTCGAATATAAACGTCGTCACTTTGTGAAAACTATATCGTGACGAAATGAAAGATTCTAATACACGCATTATAAGTAGACTATATCAAAAGTAAAAAATTAAGGATGTAGAACTGATATACGTGTATTTATGTTTATCATTTAATGCACGAAAAAACGACGAAAGAATTTCCGTACTTCGTATAGACCGATTGACCTTAGCGAAGAATCATAGTAGCTTAACATTATAATCAAGCGCAATCCGACGTTTATCGGATTATTGTGTTCTAGTTCTTGATTTGATTTCCCTTTTTTTCTTACTCTATTATCGGTACTTTTTTCCCACTACTGCAGTTAAAGGTTCACGCGAATGTGTAGCAACAGCAGCAGCAGCAGTAGCGAAAATTTTGCCCGGCACATATATTGTCTGTGTTTAGCTTCATCGACATAGCTGACGACTTCATTCAACTATACGTGTTTATATGTACACAGGTGATTCCTGACCTGTCAGCAGCCTGAACATCGACGTCGGCATGGTCTTCATCAAGATCTGAAACGAATTCAGACAAAAGCTCAGTTTTTAGCTGTCTCTCAAACGCCGAGACGCATATCGAGAGAAGAATTTTACTTACCTCGCCGACGGACGTAGCAAGTAGATTAACAATTTTTTCGTGCGGCACCGCTACGACGCTCTGATTATTGATCTCGATGATGCGATGACCGACTCGCACGCCGCCGCGTTCCGCGATACCGCCGCGCAGCAGACTGCAGATCACGCCGTTCTGAACGCTGAAGCCTAGCTGGTATTTGGTGTCGGGTCGCTTGATCTTCACCTCGACGACGGGAGCGCACGGGACGACGGTGAGCTTGACGACAGTCTGGTTTTTCGAATTTTTAATGTAGGTCTGGCACGTGGACAGCGGCAAACCGACTAGCGAGACGCCGTTGATGGCTATTATTTGATCCCCGATATTGAGCTGTCCGCAGCGAGCGGCGGCTCCCGACGGCGCCAGATTCGCTATGACGACCGTCGGCAGCATCGAGCCCCAACCGGACTCCACGATGACTACGCCGAGGATTTCTCCTTTGGCTTTGGGTACGACGACCTGTGAAGAAAATTATTTTTTTCGTGAATGGAACTAATCTCGATCTGTTTAACAAATAAGAGGGTAGAGAATTTTCATCTTACCTCTTTTTGCATCTCCTTCTTCGCGAACATTTGCAGCTCGTCGCCGAAGATTTCCTGAGAATTCAGTACCTCCTGGTAGTCCATCTCTTTGACGAAGCTGTGATCCTCGATGCCGTTGGCCTTGAGGAATTCCATGTAAGCGACCTGGAAGGCCTGGCCGATGCTCTGTGCGATGAATTGCGCCTCTTCGCTCTCGAACACGTGACAGATCATCTTGGGCGTGCGATTCTTCGGAGCTTCGTCCATCTCGTGGGGCACGAAGCGCCGACGGGCCATCAGCACGACCAGATCGCCAATGTCGGCTATGTAGGATATCGTTCGCAGCGCATGATCCATCATAATCTCTTTGAGATCCGTGTTCAGCACCATGATCTTTTCCGTTGAGATAAACAGATCGACTTCCGTGCTGGGTTGCGACTCGCCATCGGGTGCCTGATTTTACGATCGTCGATTAATCAATTGTTTCAATTTATAATAAAAGAGCGAAATAATAAAGTTTATATGCGGCAAAATTTTATACAGGATTAATTTAGTTATCTCACATTTTTTTCGAGAGGAGAGAACGGGCAAAATATTTACTTTCTAGCTATTTTTGTGTATGGAACTAACCAAAATATACAATAGCTGATGAATGATAAATATACTTTGCTTTTCTATCCCCTTTGAACAATTTTTATGTCAAATATGCGAAATAGTAAAATTTTACAAGCAGTACGATTAACAATAATTAAAAAAAAAAAGAGTAATAACTTACCAGAGCCTACACGCAAAAGCACAGCATGGAAAAGATGAAAAAAATGCAATGGGTTAATTTAATTAGCAATGCGAAATTACACATATGTATAATTTGTTCATTATTTTTTGCTTGGCTTATCTCTCAACCTGTATGTCAGATAATGTTAATATTATATCCATGGTTAAAGAGCTTTTTAAATATGGTAGCGTTATATGTTATTGAGCAACTGGTCTTATAACATAATTATTATTCTGAAATGGTTATTTCCATAATTTAAGATTCGATGATCAATGAAGGAAAACGAGGGAGGGAAGGACGTAGTAAAAGAATAATGTTTATAAAAAAATTCCAAATGAGCATAATTATCATGAGCAAAAATGTGCGATCACTTTCCTGATGCAAATATCATAGTATAAGTATAAATTTTGTAAGAGTTTTTATATAAAGTGTAATTTATAAATTTGTGCGATATACCTAGAGAAATCAGTTGCGTGTAAAAAATTTTCAATTTTTTATGTACAAATCTAATTCGTAAAAATCGCTAAGTCAAAAGTTCATATTTTGGTTTTTGTGAAAAACCTAAGTTCCAAATTACGTGAGACTAAGATAATAATGTACAGGCTATAATCAAAAGTATAATAAATAGGAATCGACGTCGATTCGCGCAATCATCATTCGACGATGCTTTTGTACACGGTCATAATATTTATAAGCCGAGCAAAAGTCGAGCGCTTTTTTTTGTTTATTTTTGTTCTTATCACAATGAGAGCACCTTGATTTTGGTAACGGCTTCCTCAACCATATGCTTCTTGAGTCTCTTGCGTCTACGACGACCACCGCCGTTCTCCTCGTCGACCTCAACGCTGCCCAAAAATTGCAATCTAAAAACCACGGGCTCAGAGCCGCTAGTCAATGTATGCTGTTGATTTTTAGCTTGCTGAGGTTGCTGCTGTTGCTGTTTTTGTTGCTCGGCAGCCATCAGTTCTTCGCTCGAGTCGCAGTCGTCCTCCTCGGAGGACGCCGAAACTTGGGCGAACGTCATGTCTTGCGAGGCCTGTTGTTGTTGTTGACGGTAGTCGTCGTCGTCGCCATCGCCGACGGCGACAACGGGCGAGGAGACGACATCCTCGTCCTCGGGCTTTTGTCACACAAGGAAAAAGATGGCCATGTTTGTACGAATTTTTTTTGTTTTGTACGATATGGAGACAAGGATTGTTTATTTGATGGAAGTTTCGCTCGATAAAAAATTGAATGTAGACGAAATAAAATTGATCATTCCACATCAATGGTAATGGAAAATGCGATGCAAACTTGAAGATATGTTTTTTCGCTAATTTTGAAAGTATTAAGTGGATAATTTCAATTATAAAGCAGTTTTTTTGGAGTCTACACTGATATTTTACATGATGATAATAATAATTTGGTAGGGTAGCATAAAATTCACCTTAATATCGTAAAATCAAAAATTCAAAATAATACAACAGATAATACAAATTATCTGATAAACTGAGAAATTCTATATTTACTCATGCTTTCATGTAATAAACGTATCATGTAATATTTTCAATTGTACAAGCTATAATGCGGACGAAGATCAATGCATTCTCGTTTTTCCAGCGCATTCCAATTAAATAACAAGTAATATCACATGTTTTATATACAGGGAGCATTCCACATATAATCGTGTGTTTAATTTTGGATGTTATGTGAGACGAGTATTTCTCCAATAACACAGATGCCAAATTTTTGTATCCCAAACCATCCATGACATTTTTTTATTTTTTTCATTTATTTATTGAAATTGAATATTGCCAATACAGATGAATTTGGATACTCACACAAGTTCTTATGACTAATAAATTTTTATGTACAAATTAAATTGAAAATCCATTTACGATGAATTAGTTTTTTTTAATCTAAATTAAAATGTAAAGCCTACATTCATTTAGTTATCAACTATAATCTCTCATTAAGCTTCAACTCTATTTTGATAGATTGATGGGTGATATTTTGACTACTGTACAAGTGCATCACCATTCCAGGGTATAAATATTTACAACAATGGATCAAAACAGAAGGAATTCGTTAACGTCAAAATTTTTTTTGATTATACAATTTCTTGTATTTAATTCAATAATTGACAATTAAATTGAATCAATCGTTCCTTTCTCTTCAACGAAAGCTTGGTCTAATTTGATATTTTGTAGTGACTCTATGCTAACTGATTATGTTGTGTATTTTTAACTGTCTATAAATTCGATAGAGTTGTATGTATTATTAAAGTAATTGAATCAAGAATTATGTTAATGAATTTCTATTTGTATACAGAAGAAAAAGGAAAATCTATATAGTATTGTGTGATAGTATTCTACATCGAAGATAAGGTATTACAGAGATTGTAGAGAGTGTCTAATATATGCATCAGGGATCACACAAGCAATTTATATTAATAATTATTTACACAAGGAAATATATATTCTGAATACTGTGAATCAATTTCTAATGGTAAGTGAAAGTACAATTTTTAATATGAAAAAAAAGGATGCATGTACTAATGCTCGGTCAATGTAGAATTTTTAATTTCATATAAAATCAGACGCGTTTCAAAAGTCATCGTTCAAGTCTGAATTGTAGGCGGTAACCAGGCATATAGGTACACTCACCCTTGATCAGACGTTGGCAGATATACATATAATGTTGTAGACAATAAAATAAATTGAAACAAAATTGTTATATGATCATCGTAATGGAAGAGTATTAGCTAGGTTCTGAATGGATAGGGATATTGAGGATTTCGTCATCAGGAAAATGGAAATTAGTTTTGTAAGATCGATAATAACATTCAGGTCTTGTTATTGTTAATTTTTTGTAGTTTTTTTATTAATAGATCTAGATTAATTTATTTTTGGTTGTATTACGACCAATTTAAAGGAATTATCGTCGACAATGCTTAATCAAAGTGAAACATTAATTGCACCGATTGTTATCTCTAACAAGGCAATAATCGGGAGCTGAGCGTGGCTTTTGGTTTCCGACGTATATATACACGCGGAGGGTTTAGGAGCAGCAGCAGAAGCGGCTTCTGCGCAGGTACTTTATTTTTCCTTACTGTACATACACACTACATCCCCTATCTTCGCTAGCGATTGATGAACCAAATCACGTCAGAGCTTGCGGTAAAATAAATTAATCCGTGGGCGGTGCTTGCGAGGGATCGCGCGGAAAACAAAGGCCAATGCCGTAATGCAAGGCAGACGCACACACACACCCAACGCCAGCCATGGGCACTGAGGACAAGACTTATAAATTATATCCGTGATCCTTTTTTCTGTCTGCTGCCTCTCCTCGTCTCGCTCATCCTCGTTGTCTCTCTCTCTCTCTCTCTCTCTAACTCGCGTGCATCTCTCTTTTCCGCGCGCAATCCCTGCGGAGTTATATACGCTTTTTGCGTGCTTTGCTCGTGACAAAGTAATCCATCACGTGTATCACGAAATACGTTATTTATTTATTTTTACGTTGTTGTTGTCTCTTTCTTTTCGCGCGAGGCTTTTTTATTTTTTTGCACAAACGAGCCCGCGGCATGGGCTATGGACCAGCACCAACGGGCCGATGCAATTTTTCGTCGCTGTTTTTTCGTACTCTTGCGCCTCTCTTGTTGATGTTTACGGCACGGAAAGTTTTTTTATTTTTTTTATTTTTTACGCTTTTTGACTCGACGCGCGCGTAACGTGTACATCCACATATATTTGCACGCGGAGCTCGGAGGCAGTAAAGTTCGGCCGCGAGCGCGCACGTGTAATTTATCGAATTTTCTATCGTCACAATTCCATGTATGCGCGATGCGATGCGTTGCACCTATAGTAGCATACGCGAGCAACCAAAAGCCACGCACGGTCCACATTTCAATGCGAATTTAGCATTTGACACGCAGAGCGGCGACGTGGACCAGCAGCGTCCAGCCTTGCTGCATGATTTTACCACTAAGGGGGTGTGGTGGTGGTAGTGGTGGTGGTGGTGGTGTGGTATGGAGGTATAGAGAGAAGCTGCTCGTACGTATATGGGCTTACCTTGATTCGGGAAACTGCCTCCTCGGCTTGACACATCCTCGTTGATTTCGTGGGCTGTCCCTCGCAGGCCAGCTGAGTCGAGCCGAGGTATCTCGCGCGAAACAGCACACCTTCGATGAGAACTGTCGGATCGGCGAGCAGACCTGCAACGTCCAGGGAAACGATCCAATTTTTATTGCTGGCCTTGTCACAGCTCGGTATGTTTATTTCGTCGCGATGCACGATGTCCCCGTAAACGGTGTAATAATCGTTCAGACGCTGGTCGTTGTTGAGGCGCAACGTCGGCGGCTCGTCGCGAGAGCTTTTTCCATCGCAACCGCGAATCACCAGCATTACGTCGTAATCGGCGTAATCGTCGTAATCGCCGCCCGAAATTTCGCCCGCGATCTCGCCCATCTCGATTATATCGTCCATATCGTACGTGTCCATAATGTACAATTCTTTATTTATTTCGGAAATTTTTCGAAACTCGTAACAACAACATTCGAGCGCGACAAGCGCACGGAGAAAAACACACGATCTCGCGCGCAGCACTGTCAGCGTACGTCTGCCGCGATGATTATAAAAATGAAAAATCGATCTTATCTAACACAATCGGAGGCTTAACTGCTGAACGCTGGCGGTTTGTTTCGTGTATAGTAGGAGAAAATTGCAGTTAGCCGCCGCGGGCCGTCACGTGTATACACGCATCAACCAAAATTATCGGTTGTGCACCTCCCACTTTTTTTCTGTATACGTGCCGCGCCGCGTGCCCGAGATTATTACACCGCCGATCGTTGCTCAGTTATAAGCGGTTGTTAGTAACGAGATCAAGATATTCATATTAAGAGAGAGATAAAATTTACGTACCATTTAATACGTTAGACAAAGTGTCATAGATAGTACCAATCACCAAAGTAGTTTATCCCATTAGTGAGTACGAAAATGAAAATACAGAGTTTTAATTTAGTCGTTTTAATCATAAATAGACTTATTATTGATGATATGTATAAGTAAAAAAAAATTGCCTCAACGAGGAAAACGAATTTCAAATCGTATTTATTATACTTTCGACGGTTTACTGGGATCATTCAACAGATCGACCTTGCCATACATCGTTAAGTTTTGTATATATGTATATAACGCGCGGCGGATTGTATGTGTCTTGAGCAAACATCATAAAATCAAACACTCAACGGCAAATAACGCGTATAACGTCGAGGCAATTATTTATAAAATTCTTTTCTGTTAAAGACTATAAACGAATGAGAAATGGTTTGCTGTACCTTCTTTATTCCGGCTCTTCTTTTTATTTTCCTTATCCTGGAAAAAAACAGGCGAATTAATCGATTGGATAAGTAAACAAGTATCATCGGAAAAAATAAGTCATGCATCTTTGAATCGCAATACATTCGGAAAACGGCTGTAAAAATAGAAATCATGCAGAAAAATTGTCGTCGATAAGAGTTGCGAAAAGAACTTGACATCATTGAACGTTTCATATTATACTTATTGATTGTTCAAAGGTAAACGGCGTGCTTATAAAAAAAAAGATTAAAACGAACGGCAAACATTACAAGAAAAGCGCAGATGAGAATTAACTGCATCTACGCGTTTCACACACTAATAATCAGTGTGGGTGTGTTTGTGTTTTCATGTGCATGTTGAAAAGAGAGAGAAGTGTGTACATACGAAATCTCATTATTTTTTGTAAATTAATTAGCATGAGTTATAACGGCCAGGGTAAGATTTACGTGCTACGTTATGTGTCTGGGATTCGGTATACAAAGCATCGCATACACATGCAATACTGTTAATTACGGGGGATGAAACTCTATATCTCCATCAACAAACAGCTCATGCGCAGAATATATATATATACGTTTATACACAAAGGTAGCAGAAGGTAGAAAGCAGCATATCAGAGCGTGAGCACGTGTAGTAGTAATTGTAATAATGTAGAAATGTGTCGTGTTGTCTCTGTTCAAACCACGACAACTATATGGGGGGCACCTTTTGATGTTTCACCTTAGTGACGGTTTCCTTGCTCAAGCTATTTGGTGACGTCGGAGATTGCTTCGACTGCGGCGACGACGAGCTCGTCGTCGTCGTGCCCGTCACTTTGGCGCCTCCGTTTGAGGGACTGGTATTTTTCTGCAAGCCGACCGGACTGCCTGTGCCACCGCCGCCGCCACCGCCGTTCTTCGTTTTGGCGGAGCTCACGGCGTTCGTCGTGGCAACGACCGATGCCACTATGGCCGATTGCGTAGTGATCCCCGACGCGTTATTGGTCGTCGACGTCGGCGAGGTCAGCGAATTGCTCAGGACGTTCTTGTTGGTCTGCGGCGAGCTCGAGCACGAGGCCAGTGGCTCGGCGGCGTTCAGTTGCAGCGTGTCATGCGAATTCAGCGACGTGGATTTTCCGACTCCAGTGACGACGCTCATGTTGTTCGTTATGAGACCGGCGCTGGACGACGACGTCTGCTGCTTGGACTTGGTGCGATCCGACGACGACAACGACGTTGGCAGAAGTGTCCTGGTTTTGGGCTTGCGCCAGCCCTGCGTGCGTGGGGGACAATTCGCGATAGGTTGTGGAATTGGTTTTATTTACATATTAATCCAAACTACAGGGGAAAAGGAATCGAGAAAACTTGCGTACTTTTCACAGTAAATCTGGCATTTACGATAAATACCCTTTATCCAGAATTCAGAACACGGGAATTATTTTACAGGTTCTTTTTTACACTGTTTTTACTTAATTACTTAATGCAAATCAAGTGCGTTAACTAAATTAGTATGTTAACATCGAACACCGATGGGAAAAGTTGATTGAGTCCATTACCATTAGCATTTTACATATATTATCTGGCAGATTAACGAGAAGTACTTTAATTGGATTAAAAAGGGTTTAAATTTGAATAAATCCAATGACGGTTATATTATATTATTACAGGTGGATCTCCGTTCTTGTCTTGATTTTCGAAGGGGTGTGGGTAAAAGGAGAACTTGCAAATAAGATAACAACACTGACCTTATCGTCGTAGAAACCTTGATCGTCGGTTCGCTGTTGGCCTAGTAATCTATCGGTCTCGAGATCTGTGTCTGCTTCTTCTTCGTCAGCAGCCTCTTCGGCTTCGAGCTCGGCGTCGACGTCATTCTTGCGCCGCACGGCGTCGGTCGAATCCTCGCTGTTGCTCTCATTGTTGCATATTCTCCGCCTGCCGTCCAACAAACTAGATCTTAGTTAGACGCACTTATTTCAGTTGGATTGATCGTTATCATTGAGAATCGTGATTTATCATTTCATCTTTTGTTCGTTAAAAGTAAAATTTTCAGTAATAACATAAATGCGTACCTAGGTATCCAAATTGGACTGACACTTGGCTCGGGAGGTTCGTTATGCGGCGATTTCACAATAGGTAACGTTTTCGTCCGTTGTAACGTGAGTCTTATGTCTTTGATTGCGGCTTCGACTTCGCCTCCACCAGTACCATTGCCACTCATTAGCAGACAATTATTTTGTTCCATCAGTCCTAGACTTTGTCGGCTCTGTGGAGCTGGGGGCGGCGGGGTTACTAATGGATCTAAGCCATCCAGTTGCAGCTCACTCGTTGCATCGTAAGAGTTTTCTTTTTTCGTTATAAACAGCTCAGGTGACACTAGATTTGATTAATATTAACAATTAAATATTTGATTCGAATATGAAATGAAATTGTTAAAATGATCGAATTACCATTTTGGAGCCGTAAACTGATATCCTTGGAATTATCATTGGTATCGGTGGCAAGCAAATCGTTACGAGTCTTTTGCGTAATCTCTTTATCGATCTCGTTTATCTGACGTTTCATCAGTATAACGGTGGGATTGTTGTTGTCTGTGTCGCTCGCGTGACCGCTAGACAACCCGTCCTCTAATACCGGCATGCTCGTGTATATTCTGCAAAAACAATTTAGTTGTCATTGCTCGATTATGATTCTATATACACTCCTAAGCCAATAAGTACGATAATTTACCTCAGCGAATCACTGTTATTGCCCAGATCATTGACAGATCCAAGTAGACCACTGGCCGGCATCAGTTCATTGTCCATCATCATCAGAGACATTTCACTGTCAAGATCGCCGCAGTTGCTATCGCACTCGGTAGTTTCTGGACTAAGAGTGAAATTTCGCGAGTGACCGACTTGCAGACCGACTTCTGTCTCACCAAGATCTCCACTGCTGCCTGTACCCACGGACAAGTCCAAAAAGTTATTCTCGTGCTCGGCCTGAAAGTTTAACATAATTTTAACCAATATGTTCTGTTTTGGGAAATATTATGTGATGAAAATGACGTACCTGCGAGATGTCAATTTTGTGCTTCTTGGGAGACTCATGTACCAGAACTTCCTCTGTTGACGGTGGTACAGTGGCCAGTCTCTGGCCAACGTAGGCACTACCACCTTGTCTTCGAAGTTCATAATCGAGATCTTGAAATGGGAATGTTTCGGCGCTATCTTTATCTTCGCTTGGAGCTGGACATTTGAAGAACTCTTCGAGTACTTTTCTCGTCTCTGAGAATTCGTACAAGTAGTCGAACGTACTGCCGCCCAATGACTCCAAGCTACTTAGATTATTTTCACTGGGCAACACAAACGACTTCAAAGGACTATCCGATCTCCTTTCGAGAGCAGCCGGTTGTTCGCGCTGTTCTTCCTCTTCGCCGTCGGCGTCAACAGCCTCTTCCTCGTCGACGTCGCGCTCATCTTCTTCTTCCTCCGCCTCGGCATCTTCGTCGTCTTCCCTTGTTCCCAATCTGACGCAAGCAATCGGTGACGTCGATATCGGTGTGAAGCTCAACGAATTCATAAGTAATTGCGGAGACGATGATAAATCGATAGGTGGCGGCGAGGCCGCTATATTATTCTGATGAATAGGAGACAACGATAATGTCGAATTATTTTCAAGTATCAAATCGCCATTATTGACTTCTGATATTTCTTTCGGCTATAGACGAAAATAAAAATAAGTCATCAATTAGATTAATTAAAAAAATTATCGAGCAAATCAGTAAAGCGAGAGTATTGTAACATGCCTCTTTTTGGCTCGGTGTAGTGGGCAGTACGCGTTGTGGAAAACCAGGTCTGGGAGCTACGTATACCGACGTGGATGAAGGTGAAGCGAGTAATGTAGGCAATCGGGCATTACTGTCGGAACGCACACCATAACGTCGAGGACTATTGGTGTACTGGGCAATGGGTAATTCGCCGATTAGTTGACGCGAACCACCACCCATGGTGATAGGTTTATGATTTCCAAGTTGTTGGTCCAATGACACTATGTCATTCGTTGAGTCGCAGTCGTTTGTTGGCTGTACCATCTGCGAGTAAGATGCATTTTTTAAAATCTGATTCTTATCGATCAAATTAAGCGATAAATACCTTGAAAAAATCTGTCGAATTTCGATGATAAGTAGCTCCAGGACTGGGAGTGCTGCAAGCACTCGAGCTTGGGGGAGTTCTCGTTTTCAAAGAAGCCGAGTGCGATTGTAGCATTTCGTCGTGCTGCTGTTGTAGTGACGTAGCAGTGATGCTCATCCAATTGTCGTCAATGTCATCAAAAACAACAACTTCACCGTCATTGACCAGTGACAGGCCACGACTGTTCATACGACCCGGCGTCGTGTTGTGATTCGACGTCGGGTAGTTCTGCAATGAGACAATGTGATTTTAAAATATGTTTATTTACATTAAAATATCAGGAAAACTTACCAATGAATCTAAGCAATTTTTAGGCAATCCATACTCAAGATCTGTAATGCTCTTGGGCCTGGTCACATTATGCTCTACATTGTTGCTATTCAATATAGAATCATAACTAAGTATATGACTTGTATGCCTCTTTGGTGATTCGTAGTCAAGGATTGATTTGCCAGGATTTCTGCGCACCGAGTGGACCTCGCTGGAGAATACTGTCTCTGTCACCTCTCGCTGCACTCGCTGTTTCCTCTGCTCCCCACATCTATTTAATTAATACAATATTATGAATATTTTTTCAAATCCCAACAATACTTTTGTACACTTGCAATCTGAACCTTTTTTATTAAGATAGTTCATAGCATATATATGTGACAATAGTGCTGACTTACCGACTTCCTAGTTCCCATACAGACTGCCTATTGGGTGACTTATTATTCTTCTTTAAGGTTACTTTGTTGTCTGTCTGACCCTCAGTATTGTTCAATGAATTTGATGCAGCCAGAAAACGTGGTTTACGAGCAGCTACTTTCCCTCGACTCTGAGAAAAGACTTCTCTGCCGCCAGCTATCTCGATTATTCTGCAACACATGCATCGAAGCAGTATATCAATAAAAAATGCTAAATGCTCAAATGCTCAAAAAGTCAATTTATTGTCATATTTTGCTTTCACTACCAGCAGTCACTCTCTCAGCTGTGCTGGCCTGCCTGCACAGAACAATTGGAGTATTGTGTGCTGCAGGTGTGTCAAGTACATACACTCAAGAAGAAGAAGAAGAAGAAGAGTAAGATGAGATAATCAGCTATATAACATTCAAGTGTAATGTATCCTTAAACAAAAGCAGATTCCAAGCAACTGACATCATAGACGCACATGTATTCGCGGTGTTATATATAGTCGAATGCATATGCATGACATCACGAAAACAAACGCATACACGGCAGATACACAACACGCATGACATAGTTTATATACCTTTCTCTTCTCTACACACTATAACGACTGTATCGTGTCGCGCACTGTACAGTGTATACTAATACTGTATAGCGTCTGCACACATCACCAGATGTTATGAGCGAATAACCTTTAAAAATGAATTGTCAGTTGTCATCCACACGTACAGACAACACTGTCGGCCACGCACACAAGCAAGGAGAATCGCGCGTAAAATTGGTATATATCAACAATTTCGCCCGCAGAAAGCTCGTGTAAGGCTGCGACGAATTCGGTGCACGCACGTTGTAATAATGCAGTGCATAAATAAACAAGTGGGTGGTAGAAAAACATTAAAATAAACACGAGGATAAGTTTAAAGAATCGAGTACATACGATCATGAAGAACACAACCAGCGACTGTATCGAAGACACGCACGCAGTGTTTGTATACAAAAAAATTAAAAAACTAGCCTTTGTACAATGTGTACGCGCAAAAAGGTTAGGTTATGCTCCGACTCAAGGCGTGTTCGAAACTCGCAGCCTTTGAAATCTTATACCCTCTCGAATGCCAGGAAATGAGGAAAATTTAATTAGCCCAGATATAGTTTGTCCCACTTGAAATTAATTAAGAATAAGAAACTGTCTATCGATTAAATCAGTTCAATAAATTCTAATGAAATTTAAGGACAGCCGAGTGCAACATTCATTATGCTATCGTACGAATCGATGCTCCGCAGACGAATATTTGCATTGCACCATTTAAAATTATAATTATCGATATTTTGCTTGGAAAACGCCAATAGCTTACATGCGGCGTTTTCAAATATTAATGAAGGACTTATATAATAAGGCTTTCGAGTTCCTCGGGTACTTTTTTTACGTCGAAGTTACTAAAAAAATGTTATAAATCTGGTTTGTGGGCTTTTTACGAAAGGAAAAGTCATAACTGATTAAACTAAATCTTATAAGGAAAGACATTATAATAGTCGGTGTAGTTGACAATTAAAAGATGTCTCGATTTGGCCGTATCGTGTTCGGCACTAAAGTTTAAAAAGTATCGTAGCCACTAATTTGGCTAAACGCGGATAATGTTTGAACTGTAGTGGAAACGTCGACGATGACAACAACAACAAAAAACTCGGAAAATATTTTGACAGGATTCATTAGCTCTTGGAAACTCATAAAAAATAAAGTTTGACTGCGCAATCATCCATCTAGACATCGCGATCATGGCCATTCGCGTAACTATATAGAGAGGCAATGAAAAGACGGAAAACTTTTTCGAACATAAAGATTGTTGACAAAGTGTCGCGAGTGTACGACAATAGGATGGTACAGCCGCGCACGCTTATCTCTTGCATAAAATGCAAAAAAAGGCGTCTTCGTGAGCACGACGTAAAGTCATTCGACTTTCGGTCGTACGATGGCGTTGGGCGGTGGATGTAAAATGTCACGTTGCGACGATACGTCGCGGCACAGATCGATGCGTCTTTTTTTCTGTGCAGCGGCATTCCCCGTGACCCATGGCTTTTATTGTGCACACGTGTGTGTATAAATATTTTCGCATAAAAACGCGATTATAAAAAACTCTTCCGGAGATTCAGTGCTGCTGTATGTGGGTGGGTGTGCAGGTAAGCGCGAAAAAGATAGGCACATGCACGTGTGCGGCGCGCGTATTATAACTGCTTTGCGCGCCCGTAAATGCTTAAGTTATGTCTCTTGCATGTTGTGTACAACGCATACGTACTACACTACAGGGGAGAGGAACATATGCGGAGGTGGCGAGCATTAAAAGAAGAAAAAAAAAAGCAAGGGCGTCCCGAGAGCAGCGACTAAAGGCCGCCGCGCAGACAACGCGTATTATTTACTCGCTATAATAATACGGCGCGCACCGAGGTGTATTATAACTGCGGCCGAGAGAGAGAGAGAAAAAGGGTATACAGAGAGTGTGTGTGTACAGCATTACTTTCTCGCGCGCGCACATATTACGCGTAAAGAGAAGATACGACGATGCATTAAGTGAAACGAGTCAATGCTTGGGATTACGCACTCCCCCACCCACCCCCGCGCTACCCCCGAGAGAGAGGAAACAAGAAGTAAGTGCGCTCGCGTGAGTGTGTAAACGGTCTCTCGGCCCCGTATTCCGTTGCTGTTGTTGTTGTAACGAGTACAGCAAAAAAAAGTAAATGCATTCTCACTGTTTTGTACAGACGAGCGAGAGAAAAAAACAAGGCGAAATCACGCGTGTAATGCAACAGCAGCAGCTCGTTCTCTCGTATCGGAGAGCAACGCGCGCGTATCATTTCATCGTCGAGGAGCGAGCAAAAAAAAAAAGCAAACGGAGTTTATAATGTAACGCGCGCGCCAACGTATATAGAGACGTTTTGAAAGAGATTCCGTTATGGGCGCGCCATGGAACAAAAAAAAAAGAGAGAAGAAAAAAAAACAACAAGGTGAACGACTCTATGTGACGAGGGCCATGCCGCCGCTGCTGCGCGTACTATACCATGCTGCACACTTTGATACGGTTATACTACACGCATAAAAGCTCATTATAATTCATATTACAATTTCGTTGTTTTAAGCTTAAAAAATACAGAGTAAGAGAGAGGGAGAGAAAAAAAGAGCACAGCTGAGATGTACATGGCTCTATATTCGCGGCTGAGATTTTGTTTTTTCATCGCGTGTATATATCTATACGAACAAGAGTGTCTGCTGAGTCGTAAACAAAAGCTCGGCTATTTATACAAGAAGTGCAGAGTGAGTGAGAGAGAGAATCAAAATGGCGCGCGCACAGAGTAGCGGCGACGGCGGCGGCAGTGCGTGTATGTGTTTTTAACGAAATTTAGGTCGGCGCGGTAAAACTTCCCCATTGACACCGGTGCAGACGTATACACCAGCAGCAAGACTAGAGCTACTCTATACTATCCTATTTGCACACTCACACACAAACAGACATAGCACACACGCATTTGGCGTAATAGGCAGCTGCCGGGGCTTTTATAACTCACTCGGCACAATAGCTCACACAGGCTCGCTCCGAGCGCAAGAGAGAGAAAATATAATACGTTTTTCTTTTCTACCCATACACACTCGCACGTTATACGGCATACATTACTAAATGTAAACGAGACGACGACGAAGACGACGAACAAGCTAATAAACGCGCAAATTCGAAAGCTATCCTACACTCGCGCCCAGTAAAAGCTCATGCTGCTGTGCAAGTTTTAATAAAGTTCTTAGTCGATAATATCCCCCCACTAGCAGCAAGCTGTAGAGAAAGAGACACGGAGCAAGAGAGAGACCGAGAGAGAGTTTATTATAACGCCCAAAAAAGAAGGGACATTGGGGGGTAGGGGTGGCCCGACACAGCGGCTTATGCAAATTTTCCTCTTTTCTCTCGCTCTCTCGTGCACTTTGCACGAATAACGCGCGAGAAAGCGCGCACAGCTCGGAAATACGCGAAAAATTTGCTTAAATCTACAAAAGTCAAGCGTGTTTAGCCGACTCCTAGAGTGTCCCTCTTTTCTCTCTCTATGTGTGTGTGTGTGTGTGTGTGTGTTTACGTGGACAGGAGCTGTATAAATGTGTATGTAAAGCTCGCCCATTGTCACGAGCGCGCGTGGGGCAAACTTCACAATGTCCTCTCCTACTCCTCCGGGCCGTGTGTTATCTTTTGGATAATATGACTTTAATCTGCCTCCGAGAGCACCGCGTAATTCCGGTTCGCAGTAGTAGTAGTAGCAGTAGTCTAACCCGCTCTCCCCGGACTTTTTAAAAGCTCGGTCTATTGAAAGATTGTTTTTACTACTATATAATGTGTGTGTGTGTGTGTATGTGTGTTTGCTCCATTCGTTCGAAATCACGTTTTAATGAGGGTGAATGAATAAATTGTATTAGCTTTCTATAAGGCCGTAGTGCTCTAAGCGATTATCGATGATTTAAAATCTTCAAGTGTATCATATGTTCAAACGAGCGTAAAAAGAAACGAAAACAAAAACTGTATAAGAGATACATTCTCGAGTTTTCCCAAACGACGTAGTCGATGATGATAAAAAAAAAGTGGGACATCCGCCTCACTACACTCAACCCTCTCTCTCTACCTACCACCACCCTCCCTCTCTTTTCAAACAATCCATTATTATATGTATGCATAGCGAGCTCAAAGGGGCCAAGTTTATCCGTTGTTGTTCTCTCTCTCGCTCTCGGTTGGTGTATATAAAAGCAGAGCCGCCCGCTCGCAGCCGTCGCTGCTGCTGCACTCCGAGTCCATTATATATTCAGCATTGGCAGGAGCGCAGGCAAGCGGGCGGGCGAGAGAGAGAGAGAGAGAGAGAGAAAGAGGCTGTATGGCATTTTTGCGTATATATAATCGACCATCTGTTACAGCTCTTCGATGCTCCAACGAGCGGTGGGTGGGCACGCGCGCGCGCGCGGACATTAATGCAGCTCGAGATTTAATTCACTGAAAATTTAGCCCTTTTTGCTGCTGCTGCTGCTGCTGCCACTGCGCGTATACGCGAGCCATAAAGCTATTTACGAGAAACGAGCTTGCGCGGCGCGCGTTGCGGGCCTTTTCTTGCCGCGTGCGCGCAAGGCAACCGAGTGTTGCCAAGAGTTTGGAATTTTCTCCTTCCTTCCTCTCTATCTCTCTCTTCTCTCTTCTCTCTCGCTCAATCTCTTCGAAAATTGAACGTTACACAAAGCATATAAAAAGTGCAATATCGCCTCATGATCTTTAGTTAAATATCCGTGAAAGCAATGAAATTCTTTCTTTTCCTCTTTTTCCCCCTTTTTTGTTCCTCTCTCTCTCTCTCTCTCTCTCTCTCTCTCTCTCTCTTTTCTCTCTGACGACCCTAAACTTTTTTTATTTCCACGGCTGTACGCGTGCAGGTAGGTAGAGGTTTATCCCTGACTTGCGCTCGCGTGTTTATAGAGGAAAATAAAAGTATATATCGAATTTAATAAAAACTTCAATTTGAGCCCGGTTACACAAAAAAGTTGCTTGTTGGATCCACTAGCACCGCGAAGGGTTCCACAACGTATACCTGTATATACCCTCAGAAGGCTAAGGAGTAAGAAAATCATTATTTTCGAATCTTCAATTTTTCGCGAGCTTCGCGACGCTACAGGCGAGGGAATGAAATAAGAAAACAAAAAGAACGACACGTAAAACAATTTCACTATATATTTAAATATGAAAACTCGCGAACGAGGGAATATAAACTCCTGCACTGTATAGAGCCTGTATTATAGCGAGCAATGTATATAAGTATTTCGGGAACACATAATATCATACATTTTCAACAAAGGGAGTTGGCCCTTTTATGCACATATATTCTGTATCCCATATCAAGTCTTTCTTCTCTCGTTCGTTATCGTCGTCGTCGTCGTCGTCGTCAACGAAATCGACAGAGTGTAAAGAGGTAAAGTGCAGGTACAATCGTGGTTTAGGTATAAAGCTCGCTACAGCAGCAGCAGCAGCGCTCGACCGCCACCGCCGCCGCTGTCGTCGCAAGCCTTTGATCCCACGGATGAATGGCCGATGAAGCAATTTTTCTTTTCTCTCTCTCTTTCTCTCTCTCTCTCGTACATCTCTCATTCAACCATGTACAGAGCTATCTCCTCGTCGTCGTCGTGGTAGCATGCCCACTTCGTTCCATCTATATATTCATAGAGAAGACATCTCGATCTTTTGTGCTTTTCGGGCGACGACGAGAGCGCGAGCGTACACGAGCCGAAGATAAAGCTGTAAAGTGCCTCCTCTTTTTTCTCTCTAGCGCCCTCTCATTTTCTCTCGCTCTCTTTCGTTTTGTCACTTGCGGTTTTTACGATCGTCATTTTTCCTTTTATTCTCATTTTCATCTTTCTCGCGTTTTTTGCCGCTGCTCTCTAGCTCGAGTGAGTGCGACGACGTGATTCGTAAATTTTCTCTATTATCGTTGCCACCGCCGCTGCCGCACCTCGCTCGCACCTAATGCTTGCTTTACATATAGATGAAGGCTACATAATGTAGGAGCCAATGTTAAACGCGTCGTCGCGCGAACTAGCTAGAGAGAGAGAGAGAGAGCTGCGGAGCGCAAGCTTCGTGTTTACCAACACCGAGAGAGAAAGATGGAAAGAGCTATAGCGAGAGAGTAGAGAGTGTATACGAGGCTTACGTAAACATTATGATTATGCCCGCGCAAACACGTGAATAATATACAGGACTGCATTGATATAAACATTGCATGTATGATTATTTTTAATTAAGTTAATTCAGATATGAATTCACACTGCGCGCAGCTCCGCGGAGCGCACTTTTCTCTTTCTATCTCTCTCCTGGCTCTTACTGTCGCCCACAGCGATATGCAATTCCACGTGTACACCGTATATACTGGTATATATTTTATCATCGTATATAACAATATATACGGCCAACGAGTGCGCGGGTTCGCGTCATTATAATGCGTTTATTATACACGCTTGGACACGCTATTTACCAACATTTTCGGCCGGGCAGGGGGCTAAATTAAATTGTTTCGTCGAATAATTGTAATAATAACTATGTTTATATATGTACGCATGGAAACTAAGAGAGCCACCGCCACGCTACTGCCAACGACAATTGCACGCTGCTTCCCTCTCTCTCTCTCTCTCGTGCGGCGCTAGCAGCTTGACGAATATTTTCAATTAAATTTCTCAGCCATGGTGAATTTGAATGCGCTCGTTCGCGCACACGCACATAGGCACGGACAAATCCGTATAATACAAATATAATACAAGTCCGCGCTGGTCGTTAAAATATACAAACGTTGTATATGTATGAGCTTTGCGATATACCATGCAGCACGCGCATAGAGATATTCGTTCTATATGTACGCAACTCGTGTACGCCGCTGCCGCTGCAATATTGTACACGTAATGCGTATATAATACCTTGAGTCCCTGAGCTTGTAGCTGCGATCGCCCTTGGACGACGTGAGTATGTAGACGGGACTCTCCTCGGCGCCGCTGTCGTCCATTTGGGACGACTGCGCCTGAGCCACGTCCTCGCTACGGCCCGAAGCCGACGACGAGCTCGAGGACGTCGTCGTCGTCGTTGCGGTCACAGCAACCGCGTTGCTGGCGATATGCTGCTGCAGCTGCTGCTTCGATACGTTATCCGTCAGCGGGGACGTCAGCGTTGAGGTCAACGTATTATTGGACGTCGCCGTCATCGCCGTCGTAGCTGCTGCTGTTGCCGCTGCTGTCGTCGTCGTCGTCGTCAGTGCGTCGAGGCCGAAGCTCGATTGACGTCTCGACGCCAGTGTGCTCGACTTTTTGCGGCCATTCGTGCGCTTTCTGTTGCACCTGAAAATCACGATAGTATGTCGCTTTAATGATAAAATATATATATATATAACGAAATTAATTTTATTGGAAGTTTTCTGATATATATATATATAATCGCTTCAATGGAGCGTATAAGTCGACGCGCGCCGGTGAAAAGCGCAGAAAATTGCGTCGTATTGCTTGCTTGCGTTGGAAAGAGGAGAAAAAAAAATTATCGAGTGAAAATGACTTTTAGCTCGCGCGTTGACGCCTGCCTATAATACGTATTTCAACTCTATATATTACGGCTGTTGTGCGCTCGTTATGTGCGCGATAATAGCGCCTCGCGTCACATTTATACCGTCGTTGCGCGACGCATCGACGAAAACGAATAAATGTCTCGCGCGCGTCGCGAGAGAGCGAGAGAAACGCGAAACATGCCATTTAGCGGGTGTACATTTTGCTCTCTATCTCTCTCTCGCTCTATAGAGCTTCGGAATTCAACATTATTACCGGCGAATGTTCATGTGCTTTTGCGCTGTAATCGTCATTTTGTAAATACGTGTATAATTGCTCGAACTTTGCTACGTGTATATATGAGGCTTGCGCTTCATATAGGTACTTTGCCGTGCGTGCGAATTTTAGAAAAAGAAAAAATTAATTACAACGTTAACATTGCGTATATATATCGGAGCCATACAAGCACGCACGTATACGCGCATGCGGATGTTTTATTGGCGCGTATATAATCGCCCTTTTTGGAAAAAAAAACAGACGATCTCGCGCCGCTCTCGTTTCAGGTAAAAGTCAAACGGTTTTTTTTATCCAAACTGGCACAGCAAAGAGCGCAAAAAAGAAAATGTGTTTTTGCAATAAACCAGGTTGCAGAGATGGATGGAAATAAAACAAAAATATCCCGAAATAAAGGATTGTCGCGCGCTCCGTTTCGAATATAATCTCGTGAAAAACGCTGGCTTGCTCGCGAGCATCCCTTTAATCGTCGTACGAGAGCTCTTTCGCGCTTTTGCCGCTCGAACGCGGCGCGCGGCGGGCGCGTTTCTTTCTCCCCGCGTGCGGGATACGCGTGCATCAACGGCGACGACGTCGACGATGTAATGCACGTCGACGCGCGAATATGCTGCTCCAGATTACATTGCGCGTGTCCGTATGTATAATGTACGAACAGGTACGCCCGTACGCGCTGTAACGCGAAACGCGCAGGAGGAAAACTCGACCTACTTTTAAACGAAGTTTGAGATTTTTTCAACGGGTTTTATGTTATGTACGTATACGCGGCGCGACGCGACACTCGCAAGATGTACGCGCTCGCGAGTGGTAAAAAGCGAGAAAATGGAAATTGTAAAGCAAAAACAATGAGAGCAGAAAGAAAAAAAAAGTCGAAGCTCTAGAAGGCTTGTTATTGGAGTATATCATATGGGACGACGCTCGGCTTTTCCGAGAGTGGCCGTGCTGTGTGTATACGGGTATAGATAGGATATGTGTAATACACATCCAAATAGATGGAAAGAGCTTTGAAATTCAAATTAAATCGTGTGGTATTGTCGAGGGTCGCGCGCGAGAGAGCTTGCAAGCTCCGCATTGAATACCTACATCTGGGTATACGGCTATGTATTATATATAAACGAGAAGATCGATGCACACCTTTGGACTGTGCGAGGCAGCAGGCAAGCTCTCTACCCGTAGTGTGTGCGGCGGCGGCGGAGGACAATGGCCTCTGGCAACCTAGAGAGAGATAGAGAGAGAGAGTTTCACAGCACAAAAGAGACGTCGCACGCGATTTCTCTTCAACAGCGCGACTCCTCTCTCTCTCTATATATATATATATCTAAACACTCGCACACATAGAGCCCCTGGCCTCTCTGCCTATTCGTGTGTACGTGTATTTTCACCGCGTGAATAGCCAAATTTCCGATCGTTTCGAGGATATTTTACTGCGCCATCGTGCGCGAGAGCTTTTATTATCATACGCGCGCGCGCGCACACACACACACACGTATCCATCGTGCATATTGGCCAACCCGGAAGAAAATCGATCGATTTTCGAGAATAGTCTTTTTTCTTTCGCTCCTTTTTTCCCTGATAATATCGCGTTCGTTATCCGCGAAAGTACGCGCAATAACGCGACACTTTTAATTTAAAATTTTTGCTCGGCCTACATATATACGCATGTGTGCGAAGGTACATCCGTTATAGGTATTTAAGCGGTGGCGATCTAGCGACATTGATATTGGCCGAACGAGAGCGAAAAAAAAGAGCGCGCAAGGATACTTCGAGCGTTATAAAATACAAGAGAGGCAAATATGTACACAAAAACGATGTGTTTCCTTTTATAAAGCCTTTCGCACATACACACGCGCCCACACACACACACACACACAAACAAGTGTAGTAGTGCATGTTTACGTCCGCGCACAAGTGTATACACGCGTGCATGATTGAAGAGGTGCGCAGAATGTCCGTGTGTGTGTGTGTGTGTGTGCAGTATAACATACTATGTATAGGCCGCTCATGGCTTGGTGCTACCTGGGTATTGCACACGATTTTTTTCCATACGTTGTGCACAGCAGCATTTCTGGTCAACGAGAGAAAGAGAGATATATGACTTCGGCTTTTCGGCGTAATATTGCATTGCATCGATATAGCGCGTTTCATTTTTTTTTTATTTTTGATCTATTTTTTTTTATTTCTTGTTATTTCAACTGAATTAAATCTAAAAAAATGCGCTGTATAGCGTTACATCGATTTTATTCCTTTTTTTACTTGATAGATAAATAATACATCTCTCTCTTTTCTCGCTTCAAAGCTGTACGAGGATATAAAAAAATATTGCCACAAACGAGCTCTCTCTCTCTCTCTATGCTGCGCGTGCTCGACTTTGAGCTTTTCTTTTACGAAAATAATATATAATAAATTATCATAAATCCACACAGAAAGCGAGAGAGAACTGCAAAGGGATGATTTTGCCTCTCGACTTTATTTCTTCGTTTCGCATGAGCCACGACATAGCGTACGTATAGTGTAGTGTAGGTACAGTGCAGCAGCAGCGGCAGCACGGCGTGGCACGAGAGAGATAGAAAGAGAGCGAGAGATGCGCCCTGTTAAAATGTAACCGTGAGAATTTTCACGTCGCCAGTTCGAGCTTTAGTTATATATATAGTAGGTAGGTAGGTAGGTAGGTAGGTAGGTAGTAGTAGTAGTTGTAGTATACGTGCACACGAAAGAAGAGTCGAGATGTAGCCTCGAGCGCACACGGAAAATCCCTTTTCGAGCTTAAATGTACATGTATATATATACACCGTATATAGATATATGGAGGCGTGCGGATGGGCGCACTACACATACATGCACACTGCACACGCGGAGCGGAAACGTGGCAAAAGTGAAATGACGTAGTCGTCTAGGGTAAATAATCCGGAAAAAAGTCACGCTGCTGCCGTTGCTGCTGCTGGATCAACCTGTGAGCCCGACGCATGCGCCAACTACACGAAGAGCACGGAGAGCACGGCGGCAGGAAGATCATTTTGATATCCATAAAAGGGAAGAAAAAAAATAGAGTCGAAGAGAAGAGCTCGAACGCGCCTGGATACGATTTATATAGTTATATATGTATGCGTAATATAAACTCGAGCGATAAATAGTTCGAGTTGGTCGACAAAAAAAAAAAAAAAAAAAAAAANGGTCGAAAAAAAAAAAAAAAAAAAAGAAGAAAAATTTGTGAAGTGCAAAAAACGGGGGAGGCCTAGCTAGAGAGAGAGAGAGATTTATACGTCGAAGATCGCGGTCGTTCGGCGGCAGGGGGTGGTGGCGCAGGGAGGAGAAGCGAAAAATGATGTTTCTCGCCGTGCGCATTCGGAAAATGCCGATGAATGATTGATCGTTGATGCAAACACGCGTGCACCCCCGCAATGTACAGTAGATAGGTATATATAGAGATATGCATTATGGAGCTGTGGTATACTGCTCACGCATCATAGATACCTATATATAACTCGGCGGCGAGAGAGAGAGAGACAGACAGAGAGAAAACGATTATTCATTCAGCAGTTAGTTGTAAATTATTTACTCTCTGGCCGCGGTGAGCAATAGACTTTCCTCCGGGCTGTATATATACGGCTCTACTCTACTGCTATGTATGTGTATGTGTGTGCACCTGGCGGCTACGTGATATATACACTCGAACGCGAGCAAACGCATATCATTGGGTTTAAAGGGCAGAGCTAGAGAGAGAAATTGACTTTGAAAATTTAATGCCATCATTTGGAGTGTACATATACTGGCGCGCGCGCGCTATAAGCCAGAAAGTGCAGCAGCGTATACCTAGCTATCTTTTACAGCGCAAAATTCGCGCGCCAGTATACATATATACGATTGCAGACTAGATACTATTTTATAGCTATAATATTATATATATACCTGGCTGGATCATAGTTGCGGAACTATTATATAGATACGGTGCGTCAATCAACACCGATTCTGGGCGTCAAATTCGATTGGTTCGCGATCGCGCGCATCGTGCGAAGATGAGCAGCCGTGCGCAAAGTTTATAATTAATATCGCGTGTAATCGAGAAAGCGAGCGAAAGATGCGTTGGGGGGTACGACGAGTTTGACAATATTACATAATTTAATTAATTTAGCGCGAATCAGCGCATCGCTCACAGTTGACGCGCATATGCGTTTCGCACTGATTTTCTCTGCTCTCGGAGGCGAATGGCTGCTGCTTCTGACTACAACTGTCCAGCGGGGATGGTGGCCGCTCGATCACTCACGTTACTCATTTATATCTCTCTCTCTCTCTCTCTCTCTCTCTCTCTCTCTCTCGCTCTGCCACTAGCCGATATATGCTAATTTGCTCGAGCTCCGTGTTACTTTCTCTTCCGATGGCGCGCGCGTATTGTACAATATTATATACATACGTGCGTGTGTGCGGGTGCGACGTGCACACTAGGTACTGTCAGGCAGCCGCTCATCACCGGCGCTATACTCTAACGGTCCTATATACAACGCGTCGAGCTGTTCTATTAGACGCTCGCACGCGCGCAACCTCGGTTGTAAGTTACATGCGAGCCGATATTAAATTATATGGGTGTTATGTGTAAGTGTGCCGCGTGCGTGTGTGTGTGTGTGTGTGTGTGTGAGACATGCAGCGGCACTGCTCCGATGCGAATATAATTGATGCTGTCGCTATACGTATAGTATAGCCGGCCCTGTAGCCTTATTATTCGACGTCGGCGACGACGTCATGCCCGCGTCATTTAATTTAACTTTATCGTTGGCGCGAGAGCTGCGAGCTCGCCCTGATTTTTTAATTTTCTAATTTCGTTCTTCCGAAAATAAATCAAAGATGTGCAGTGTAGCTCCCAGTCGATCGATGAGCTCTCGAGCGATGTCGAAGGAGTTTTGCTTATAATTATGATGTACACACCAACATATGCTGGCGTATTATATAAGATACGTATGTGTGTGCACACGAGATCGTGCGGTTTCCGCATATAACATAGGGCGCACACTACGCGGCGTGCGAGAGAGAGAGAGAGAGAGAAAGAGAGGGTGGAGTAGAGTAGAGTAGAGTAATAAAGGGTAGCCGTGCGGAACATATGCGCGTGGACAAGGCCACCGTATAGCAGCAGTGGGAGAGTTTAGCATGTTGCCCGCCTCACAGCAGCAGCAGAGATAGAGACATTTAAAATGCTAGTGTATGCGCGTTTTTAATTGACTATATTATGCTCGTGTGCCGTAGGACGCGGCGAGGGCTCGCAGCACTACTCTACGTTAGCATACGAATTATATCATTATATATATATATATTGTATACGTAATAACAAACCTCTCGGAGGTGTCTCGCTCGAGGTCAATCATATTTTCGTGCTGGTCCGTGACGACGGCTGCTGCTCTGCTAGCCTGCGAGCCGCTGCCGGGCAACAGCTCCAGATTGGCGTTGAGCGCGTCCGCTGCCGCTGCTGCCACTGCTTCTTGATGCTGCTTGATCTGCTGCTGTAGCTCCACTTTGACGATATTGTTGCTGTTATCAAGCTCGGAGCGTCTGCGGTGACGATCGACGAGCCGATGGTACAATTGATGATCATGCGTCTTCGTCGTCGTCTTGAATTTCTTCGCTAAACTCTTTCTGCGCTGCTGGCCGACCACCGCCAGGCCCGGCAGTACGCTGTTGTCGCTGCCGGAGCTGCTCGAGCTCGAGCTGGAGCTGCTCGAGTCCTCGTCGTCGTCGACGTCGCTCGTCTGGGCGATCCTCGACGGTGGGACGATTTTTCCTCCACCTCCTCCTCCTCCTCCTCCTCCTCCGCCGCCGCTGCTGCTGTTGCTGTTGTTGTTGCTGGTGGTAGTAATTTTGCTGGTTTGCGTGATTACGTCACCGCCGTTGTGGATGCTGCTGCTGTTATTGTCGTCGTCGTCGTCGTAGTCGTCGTCGTCGTGGTTGACGCGGTTGTTCAGCTGGCCCGGGCTCGAGGCTTGCAGCCTAGGCCGGCATTTCGGGAATAGACGGCTCAGATCGGCGCTGTCCGAGATCAAGCTTGTCATCGCTGTTGGCTCGGCGCCACGTGGCACTGCGACCCTACATCGTCTGATGCCTGATGGTGCCCGGCGAGCGATGATGCTCTTTGGTTCATTTCAACTCGATCGGCCTATGAGCCGAGTTCAATATGGATGATATCTGTGCGAACAACAGAGGGAAAAAATGGTCATGAGTAACAATAATTCACGATGGCATAGATATGAAATGAAGCCGAATAAGAAAACAAAAGAGCTCGAGGCATTGTTGACCGGCTCAGCGACGATTATTAATGGCCAAAGAGTAGGATTTGCTAGTCTCTTTCATTTATATATATGTGGCCAAGGTACATATAGTGCAACGCGCGCGCGGGCACCATTATTATACCACCAGCGCGCATATATATACATAAAAGACACGCGCGGCATACTCTTGATCCCCGCAAGCTCAAAAATATATATACGTACATTTTCACCGAGAGCCAAAGGGACGCAGATGAAATATGAATGGAAACATGTGTGTGCCGCATAAAAGGCATATTATATACCACAATGGTCACGGAGGACAGGAGGGAGGGACAAAGGGCGAAAAAAACGGAAAGGACCTTTCGTTGCACGTGTCGAGCTGAAAATATTTTTCTTTCGAGAGATACTTCGTTTGGATATGATGAGTTACTGTACGTTAACTGGTATCGTATTATATAGGAGTCACTGCTCGTCAAAAAGATTCGATCGACAAATAGCCGTGGTCGAGATTTTTGACTTTTCCCTCGTTGCCCCTATTTTCGGTCAATAATTAATATAAACAACTTAATTGTACGTAAGAACTTTTTTTTTAATAATTGACTGAATGAATCGAACATCTTCAACAGAAATATATTATTCTAATTCGTGTTTTTTTAAATTGCGTATGCTTAAATACACGGCAAGTGTATTAGGCTAAAATTATTTTCACTGGTTGTAGAAAAAAAACATGTAATACTTTGCTCAAAAATTGTTCAAAACGAGACCTCAAATTCATGAAAGAGACCAAATATGGTCGTAAGTCAATCGTATCAAAAATTAATGGTAACTGTGAAAATAAAATGAGATGATGTAAAAAAATTAAAAAATTGAATATCTTCGTATCTGGATACATACTGGATTCGAATTAAGTCTCGGTAACGGAATAGCATGAAAATTCGTAGGATTGTTAAAAAAAATTTTGGTCGCTATCAAATTGACACGGCTTGTTTTAGATTCTCAAGTAGATTCGATAACTGATTGTTTCCGGCACCTAAACAGCATAATTTGTACGTATATGTGGAAAATAAGTATGGCTAGCAAAAAAAATATACACAAATAATAGATTTTATAACAACTATATTTATAAGTCGATTTTTACTATTTCAGTCAATGAAATTGTTATACGTTCTTACAAAATTTTAAAAATTTTTTATGAGATAGTTCACGCATAATCAACTTCATACATAGTAGATATAAACTAATAATTATATTTATAAAAATTTTAATCAATGCGATATTTTTATTTTACTTGTTGGTTACAACGATCATAAACAATGTATACATATAAATATGAGCATTGGATTAAGATTCCTTCATAAATAATTTATAAGCACACACCAAATCTTCATCTTTTAAAAACTTGATGATTTTATTGCAATATTCATTGGGTAGTTTACCCTGAGAGAATATTCCAAGCGATTTGGACGTAAATTGATGACTTAAACTTTTAATGATGCAACCTTTAATAATTTCTCCGATTTCACAAAAATTTTTCCTGAAACCTTTCGAATTTACTAACTCGAATACCAATTCATAATCATTATTCATTAATAAGGGATACGTTTCCTCAGGACTAGAAGTGCAAAGATCTAAAAGTGAAATGTTATTGCCTATCATCGTGGTTTTAGCTAACTCAATTTGTCCTACAACGCTATAATCTACATGTTCCATAAAAGTTTTACATATTTCATAATTATTGGAATCAAGCAAAATTAAAATATCCCGCAAAAAATTGTTTGTTTCAATATCTATGTACATTTTTACATATTCTACCATGAAAAGATATCGATAAATATAATAGCATGCTGCAGTTCTATGATCCACTGTGCATTGATTTGGTTCGGTGCATTGGTTTGGTGCATTGATAAGGTCCGGAAAGTTACAAAATAGTTTTTCAAAGAAGCTTCTTATTGTAGAATCAGAGCCTAGATAAGAAAAAGTTGTCATTAAAGCTATGTTTATTACTATTGGTTTAAAGTGAATTACACGGATACCGTAGCATACAATAAATTCATACTATTTATTTTTTAATTCGTGTTGTAATTTTCTAATTGAATATTTTCTAGAAATTGATTTTAAAGACTTATCTATGTGTGCTATGGCCAACGTATAAAGACAGATTTCTGTGTTCTCACCTAAGTTCAAAACGTTTGTTAAGTAACGAGGATTTGCCTCCAAAGGAAAATCGAATCCAATCAAAAATTGGCACAGTGATAAACGTTGATGATTCATCATTTGAAAACCTTCATTATCCAAATGGTGGATAACACTTAGCATATTATGTATGTTATCAATTATATGTAGATTTCGTAAGATACGATTTTCAGCCTCGAAATATCCGCCTTTGTATTGCACAGTGGATCCGTCAGCTCCGCGATACAAAAGAAATTTGGCAATGTCGTAGTTGCCGTGCAACATCGCATAGTTGAGTGGGGTAAATCCATCTCGATCTTGAACATTGACGTCTAGTCCATGGCATAGAAGAATGTCAATGTACTTATGCATGTATTCCAAAATTAGTTGACCATTCTCTTCATAGTAACAGTCATAGAGTCTTTGAAGATATGAGCTTAGCTTGATAACCAGTGAGTGCAATACAGTTTTGCCATCATTGCCGATGTGTGAAAGATCGGCATTGTTTTTCGCCAAAAATATCAGTACTTTCAAATATGTCTCTAAATCGGATCTCTTCAAAGTATATTTTTGTACTTCAACATCGCCAAAACGAAATATATAATTCAAGGGTGCGTTGCCATCTTGATCGGCCTTACTTGGATCAACACCTTTGTTCAATAGTATTTCAATGACTTCTGCTAAATATGGAAAAAATGATCCATAAGGAAGTACTCCGTGCAATAAGTTTCCACCATTCTTGTTTGCGATTGTGACATCGGCGTCGTTACATATTAATAACTTGAAAACTTTCCACAACAATTTAGCATTGTACTGGTAGCAAGGCTCAAAGAGGTTCATTATAGCACTCGTATCGTCAATATCTTTGGAATTAACGTCGGCTTTGTATTGGATGAGAAGTTGAATCATTTTGAAATCATTCTTTGTCAATAATTTTTCGATACAGAGCCTATTTAAGGGTGTTTTTCCTTCTGCGTCGCAGACATTCGGGTCAGCACCATTTTTCAAAAGCAGCTCAACCGCTTTGAGATTCGCAGAATATGAAACCGCAGAGTGAAGTACAGAAATATCATTTATATTTTTGATGTTTACATCGACTCCGCGTTTCAACAGCTTTTCAACTTCTTCTGTCATGTTTGGGAAAAGGTGACCACATTGAAGAATTATGTGCAGTACGGTATCGCCATCGTCGTTTACGATTGTGACATCGGCTCCATTCTCCAATAATAAATCAAACACTTTCTTACGTAATTTATAATTACGCTTTTCATCAAACAAGTTCATTATCGGACTGTTATCGTTGTCATCTCTGATGTTGACGTCAGCATTATAATGTATGAGACTTTGAGCCATTTTCCAATGGGTTTTCGTAATTTTAGGTAGATTACATATGTAATTTAGAGCTGTCTTGCCAGAGTCATCAGTCGTATTTGGATCGATACCACTTTTCAACGCCGATTCTACTTCGTCCAAATTGTCCATTTCAATAGCATTGTGTATCGGTCTTAACACTAATTTTTTGGATTCAGACATCGTGAAACTCGCGTTTTTGAACAGAAACACACTAAATTAACTGTGAGCTTTAATCAGCTCTAAATATAACGACGAACTGAAATTAAGCCGCAAAGCCAGTTGCTGATTGTTCCTTCGTCCCCTCTACTCGTTTTGTGTAGAGTTTGTTGACTCTAAAAGTTTCCTTATTTACATCGTCGCCGTTATTATTGCTGGGTATTTATGTCAGCGATCGAATAGTTTAAAAATTATATAAGCGTGTATTATGTGTGTGAGCGTAAGTCTTTAAATATGATTTCGTACGAGAGAGAAAGAGAGAGAGAAAAACACTGACTACGTTAGAGATTCCTGCTTACGTCATACGCAAAATCTATTCTGCAGCGCCCAGTCGAAATGAGATTTTGGCTAGCTTTATATGCAGCCACGCGCAGAGAGGTAATTTACTTTCCCAATTAAATGCAAATGCAATTGTCAAAAATTAAAGTACGCAAAAAACTAAAAGTCTGCGAAAAAAAATTCAATCAAAAAGGAAAAGTCACTCAGAAGTTACACTTCGGCTGATTTTTGACGCAAATAAAAGCAAAAATACAGAATAATCTGCTACGGTCCTGGCCGAAATCGTGCTTATGCGATATATATAGACCTCTTTGGATTATATGCAGCAGCGGCAGTAGCGCCGCGCCACTGCTGCGATCCGTCCAGGTAAAACCAATCAAAGCAGTTAGGGATTTTGCTCCATCGCCGCTGAGCATCGGCGCAGAGGCTTCACGCTCTGCATGCGCACAAGGCAGTTAATGCAAGAGTAATTGGATTTCAATTTCCAAGTAGACTTTGCAAGAGCGAGAGAGAGCGAGAGAGAAAGGGGCTTATAAGTTGTTTTAAAATGGATTGATGAAATGAGAGAGAGAGAGAGAGAGAGAGAGAGAGAGAGAAAGAGAAAGAGAGAGCGCGCAAATGTATGCGTGTGTATATCTTGCTAATGAGTACATATGCGCAGATATAAACTTTATATACTACACATAAAACAGTATACGAGCTCGTCAGCGCTAAAAATTGATTATAATTCCTTTTTTTTCTCCCATCTCGCTGTTTTTCCGACGAAAACGACGACAACTACGGCAACAGCAGCGACGAGCAGCGACAACGATGTATATAGCGCTGTATTATTACCATAAGTACCAGGGGCAGATGAAAGATAACAAGATTAGTTAGATAATAGGAAAGCACACAGGTATTAGAGCTAACGCTGTTAGCAATTCATATATATGTGTGTGTGTGGAAGTGTACGCATATAGTACGCAGCCTATATACAGCTCGAGCGTATATCATTATGAGTATATATGGTGTATATAGTTCTACTACTACTCGTAGGCGTATATTTGCATACTCGGCAGCAGCGTACAGGCTCGTATTCTCGTAGCGGAGAGAAGTGTGTAACACTCAGCCCCCAACCACCCCCTCCCCCCGTTCATTGTTGAATTAAGACTCGATGTGCAATAATACTCGCACATACACGCAAGTATATGTAAAACGTACTTGAACACACACAAAAATCGAGCTTTGCGCATAACCGATTTAATACCATTTACTCCGCACGGCATCGTCGTATGTTGAGCGAATAAACGAATGCTTTTAAAACAGACGCTCGGCTTACTTATGGGCGCCTCTGGTACGCGCGGCCATCTCTTATACCTGCCGCGGCGCGCAAGGGTATATACGAGCAGGGGGCTGCTGGAAAAAGGAAAAGAAGGAGGAAATAATCCAAAAAAGCCTCGAGCGCAACGATCAATCTCTTTCGAGCAGAAGCAGCAGTAGCAGCAGCCGAAAAAAAGAACGGCGCTATACAGTATAAATCTCGGGCTAATCGATTGGCATTGTTCGGGTGCGAGCGCGAGAGTAAGAGAGCGAGAGACGGGGTGAGCTATAGGTGCACAAAAGGCCTTTAGCGGTGCACACGGATCGCGCGGCAAGTGCGCGCGCGCACACATACACCCCTAAATCTCGGTGTGTGTGTGTGTGTGTGCCGATCAGCGCGAGCTGGGAAAGAGCGCCAGAGAATCGTATATACGGAATCTCGCCATATATAGTTGTAAACTTTTTACTTAGAGACTCGGCAGTTGAGCTCGGCGCGCGCGTTTGTACGGCACGCGTGTAATGCGCCGCCGCCGTTTCCAGAGTCCTTTATTTTTTTGCCGTTGCTAGTAGTGCACGGAGGCAACTCACTCACCAGCTCACCCGCCTTCTTTTACTCTCTTGCTACTCCTTTTTTTGTTGTTGTTGTGTGTATGTGTGTAGTTGTATATAGCGCGACTGCTGCTGCTACTGCTGCGGGGATACATAGGAGGAAAGAGATTTATGAGACTGCTGGATTTTCTCCCGAGCTATCGCCGAATCGAAGTTAATTCAAGCTTGCGACGACGACTGTATCCATATAGTCCGCGCCATTTGCGTAAATGGAATGTTTCACTTTTCATTACACAGGGGAATAAGCTCGACTTCGCTTCTATTTCTTTTGTCTCGTACGACAAAAACGATCGAACGAAGGTTTATACTAATATTGAATAAATCGATGTAAATGCAATGATTTATCGTCCAATCGTCGACCAAAACGAAGACTTCGGTCCATAATACAGAGGGGGTGGTAAGAGAGTTTGGGAAATCAAAGTGGCGACGCGCCTTGCTGCATGCATGCATGTACATTATACGTGCAAATGCCATCGGATCTCGTGCATGCCCCTTACAGACACACGCACACACACACATCGCGAGCGAGAGCTAGTAGGCCGTTTGAACTCAAAGTTGCAACTACTTACGAACATGTGCAGTTAATTCATCGAGAGTAGCAAGTTGCCGAGCGAGGCGTGGAGTATAGAGCTTGCGAGCGGCACGTGCGCGCGCTATATTGATAAATACACGCTCGCGTGCAACGTGCTTGCAACCGTGCAACGCACGAGGCACGTGCAGCAGTGCAGCAGCAGCAGCTTCCAATAGGTCAAATCGCAAAAGTCCCTCACGATCGTCAAAGTACATTACTGCTTCTCAAGGGAGCTAGTACAGTTGATAAATAGCCGCGCGCGTTGTATGAGCAATCCACACGAAAGAGGATATAAATTGCGGCGCAATCGTATTTATGCATATAAGCGGTTTAAGCTTCAACAAGCTCGATGCCTCTCTCTCTCTCTCTCTCTATCTCTCTCTCTCTCGCCCGCGCTATGCGCATCGTGGTGCTGGTGGTCGGAAATGTAGCAGCAGCAGAGGATGATGCGAGCGCGCGCGAGGAGCGGATTACAAGCTCTCTCTCGGACTCGTACATATATAGAAAGTGGAGGGAGAGAGAGAGAGAGATAGTTTGCTGCGGCGATGGCAAGTTTTGCGAGTAGGTATAGTTATATATATAGAGAGAAACAAGGCAGCGACGCGACGCGCTGCCGCACACGTGTATACACCATTAATGCACACGTGTATGTATCGTGTATGTGTATACATCGACGATTGTCAGCGACTTACCTATATACGCGCACGACGTACATACATACAAACGACGACGACGAAGCGCAGCGCTCGGTAGTATTAATAACCGGATTAAATGGCAGAAGCAGTCCAAGTTTATATACAGTGTATACATGTGTGTGTATCGCTTGATATTAATGTTTGGAAGCCAGCGGAGCCTAGGAGCACAGCACGCGACGACGACGAAGAGCGCATTACAAGAGATTCGAACGCCAATATACAAGCGTATATAATATAATAACATTATATGTTATCGTTTAATAATATTTCCACGCGCGATATAATTTACATAATGCGATTCGTCGTCTTGCGCAGCGGGGCGCTTCGGTCTCTCCCTCTCTCTCTCTCTCTCTCTACATGTATATATTAATTCACTCGACGAGCCGCGCGATCTGTTTTGCCGAAGATTGAGATATGTATTTCAGCTGCAGTAGCGCGAAAAGTGTCATGTATTATATCGGCAGTATTCAGCACAGTAGGGTGTATACAGGGGCTGCTGCTCCTGAACGCTAGTCGAGAAGAAAATTTAATAATCGTCGTAAGCCTGGAGGAATTCCTTCGGTTTCAAATCCAGATTCTCGTCGATCTCCGCTTGCGCGTCATAGGTACAGTATCTATATAATATCGCTTTTGTTATTCGATCCCTCGAGGGGGCCGGCGGGTATACGTTAGCGAATTATTATCGTGTATATAAGTATATAGCTAGCTAGTTGACTGAGCACCATTGACACAGCAGCAGCAGCAGCACCTATAGTGGCGATCCTGGTCGCGACGATGCCCGATATATATACTATATATGAAATTTCTCGCGTCCAAATTAATCGATTTTCGAGCCAGCCGAACTTTCATCAGCTGGGGGATATTATATAGAATACAAGACCGGCTTGGCTCGACGGTAGATATCGGCCGATTAATTTTTCAGAAAAAGCTCTAAAACTAAGTGATAAGCTTTTACAGTTTTAGTTGTTCGGTAAAAGTTAGCGCAGAAAGCCTCGGAGCTTCCGCGTTCGCGACCGTGTATTATGTATACAGTTATACTATATCTGTATCTAAGAGGGATGCGACGATACCACTTTATCGCGGCGCGCGCGCACCGCTCTGCAATACTCGAGCCGCTGCTGCTGCTGCGCCGGGAAAAAGAGTAACTTTTTTAGAAAAATATCATTCCCCTGCCGACGTCGAGCGAAAGAAACGTACCCTGTAGAATTGTCCCGACGACTCGTCGAGTATACGTATCATAATATATATAGTTTGATCGTCGACCGTTGCTGCTGCTGCTGTTGCGAAGCAAAGCGCTCAACTCGAGAGACTCGTTCCGTTTCAAAGGTACCATACGTAAAACGACTCATTATATGTTGGATGATTTCATCCTCCTCGTCTCTCTTTTCACATTACTCATTTCGACGCTTTATATGGATCTTTCTTTTTTATGTTTTTTATATGTTTCTTTTCTACGTCTTATATTGAGTTTGTAAACACGCAAAGGAAATATTAAATTCAAACTCTCTCTCTCTCTCTCTCTCTCTCTCGCCCGAGTTTACATAAAATAATGAAATGAATGGGCAGAGGAGGAACGCCGCGCGAGCGATGAA